GGTGATGGTGGTACAGGTGATGGGGGTACAGGTGATGGTGGTGCAGGTGATGGGGGTGCAGGTGATGGGGGTGCAGGTGATGGGAGTGAAGGTGATGGGGGTGCAGGTGATGGGGGTGCAGGTGATGGGGGTGCAGGTGATGGGGGTGCAGGTGATGGTGGTGCAGGTGATGAGGTGCAGGTGATGGGGGTACAGGTGATGAGGTACAGGTGATGAGGGTGAAGGTGATGGGGCTGCAGGTGATGCCAGAGGCTAAGACGTGTTGCTGGATCAACGTATTCGTTCTGCTTCTGGGTGAAGGTTACTCGAGATTGAGTTCAGCTCTCCATCCCACCACCTCTCGGTGTCATCGCTCTGAGCCCGGCCACCCTCAGTAGCTGCTCCGGGTTCCCACGCTCCGCTGTCTCCTGAGCTGTGCCCCTCTGACAGAAGTCTGATGTCGTCTAGCCAACTTGCTGTACTGCAAATGTCGCCTGTATGCCGGTATCGAGACGAAGCAGAGAGAATAGGCTTCGCTCTTTTCCACAGACACAATTGCTCAATCCGAGCTATTAATGATTTGATATTTGTATTGCCTCTGTGCTGGTCGCTTTATGGCGTGATCTGGTCTAACACTGCTGAGTGTAGGCCATAAAGTAGGCCAATCAATTTCAAAGGCAATGCATATATTGGTATCAAAGCACGTTTGTTTGCATGTTTTACCACAAGCATGTGTGGTTAATGCTGACACGATGCCTTGCAATAGCCGTCTATTTGGTCTTTGAACATATTAACACCTCCTGTTTGATTTGCCGGAAACGGTAAAGTATATTACCTTTTCATCGATCATGTCTTTACCTTGATCCCAACTTCGTGGCCTTCTGTATTGGCTTCATCTTCATTGCTGTAACTGTGTTGTATTTACTTAGGTCCAGTTTGGTGGCTCGGGTAGGTCTTTGTTCTAGATTTGAAGCTTTCGTGACTGCAAGGATTCATACTCTTAGTTCTTTCGGTAAAGTCACGTAGGTAAAAAATGAAATTAAAATTAATATAAATAAAACAATAAAAAATAAAAAAATCACGACGTTTCGGAGGCAACACAAGTCTCCGTCATCAAGTGGGACCGTCACAGCCAGATTTGCTGCATCAAGATGATGCAGCAAATCTGGCTGTGCAGCAAATCTGGCTGTGACGGTCTCACCTGATGACGGAGACTTGTGTTGCCTCCGAAACGTCATGATTTTTAGTTTTTTATTGTTTTATTTTTATTAATGTTAATTTCATTTTTTACCTACGTGACTTTACCGAAAGAACTAAGAGTCTTTGTTGTTGTTACAAACGACTCGTCCTGGTCTCTTTGAGTTCCTCTACCTGGCAATGAACGGAATCAACTTGGGAGTGTGTCGCTATGTTCCGCTACGTTCCCCGTAGCTGCATTATCGTCGCAATTGTGGCGTTTGTGATGCGAGACGCGGACACGTGACAGGTGAGACGGGAACGGAAACTGCGCAGAGAAGGGTGGAGGAGATGCACGCCGGGAATTACAGCGAGAGACAGAGGGACACGAGGATTAGAGAGAACACACACGAGTTGCAGACGTAATCTTCGTCACCATCATATTGATCCAACAGTGGATATATCATAATGAAAGCATGGGGAGATGCACCCTGGAAGTTCCACTGTTACACAGAAAGATGAACACGTGCTTTAGAGAATATACACGTGATAGAGACATCATCATATTGATTTTTATTCATCAGTGGATAGATTATAATGATATCATGGAGAGATGCATGCTTGAAGCGGCACTGAGACACAGAAAGACGAATACGTGGATTAGACAACGCACGCGTGTCAGGGACCTCATCATCATCATCAGTAGCAGCATCATCATCGTCAGCAGTATCATCATCATCGTCGTCGTCGCAACGCCTTGCTAAGAGAAGTGAGGCTTGGGCAAGGCGCGTCACGGCTGGAGGGGGCGACGATGGTCTGTGGTCGAGACCGGTTGATAACGGCGGAGCGGCAGTCGAAGGAGGGAAAGAACTCGCCCGAGAGCTCGTCTACAGCGGAGACGGAGCGGAGATGAAATCGGCTTCGTGTGCGGCAGGAGCCGGGCGGATCGGCGCGTCACGAGACCTCGAGAGGTGGCTACGTCTAGGGGAGAGAGGGGAGAGAGGGGAAAGAGGCCTTCATCCAGCAGTGGATTGACTCTGGCTGCTGATGATGATGGTAGTTAGTGAGTAGCATTGTTTTGTGATCTCCCTATCGATGTGTTTATTGTCCTAAGGGGGACAGCCCCATTATCCCCCGACACCAATCCGCTCACAATCGAGGACAACATTTGCCTGTGGGCTCGTGGCCTGAAGACGTCGCCGCTGTGACGGAGCGATAACATTGTACACTTCGACGAAATCGCCCATCAGAGATTTGCCCTCCCCCCTCCATCCCATCCCCCCCTCGCGGCCCCTGCTGGCGCAAGGAGGCCTCCACTACTAGTTGGAAGAGCTGAGTCGACCTCGGGGGAGGCCCAGGACCGGTTCAGATAATCGTCACGGGTTTTCGCCGTGAGCGGGAATCGAACTCGGCTCGCCGGGTTCGTAGCGTAGCGCGCTAACTGCTGCACCACCGCTCCACTGCTTACCCCACCACCACCACCAACGCACGACCTGCAGATCATAGATTTTACTGGTGTGAACTTATCATTTATGCTTCTGCTGGGGGGGGGGGGGGGGGGTTCAAGTAATTTTGGACCATTGTTTTAACTGCCGCGCTGCGAGATCGCACAGCACCGGTGACCTCTGGGAGTTGACCTCTCACCGCGGTGGCAGCAACCCATGTCTGGTTAATAGACCCGCGGTATTAACCAGGGTGGCCGCGTGGTTGCGATAAGGGGTTGACCCGGCCAGCGGGCAGTTGGCTTCTGTGATCGGGCGTTCCGGGTAGCTTCATAGCGAGGATCCGCTACCAGCGCCGTGCCAAAACCCCTCTCACTGGGAACTGCACAGCTCGTTCTGATAGACCCCGCGCTGACTGAGAGCTCTGCCTGGGTTTGGTCTACAGTGGGGAATGTAGCAAACCCTTCCACCCACTCACTCATCGATCCACTCACTCACCCACCCACTCACCCACCCACCCACTCACTCACCCAACCACCCACCCACTCACTCACTTACCCACTCACTCACTCACCCACTCACTCACTCATCCATCCACCCACTCACCCACCCACTCACTCACCCACCCACCCACTCACCCACCCACCCACTCACTCACTCACCCACCCACCCACCCACTCACTCACTCACCCACCCACCCACCCACTCACTCACTCACCCACTCACCCACCCACTCACTCATCCATCCACCCACCCACCCACCCACTCACTCACCCACCCACCCACTCACTCACTCACTCACCCACCCCACTCACTCATCCACCCACCCCACTCACTCATCCACCCGCCCCACTCACTCATCCACCCACCCACTAACTCATCCACCCACCCCACTCACTCATCCACCCACCCCACTCACTCATCCACCCACCCCACTCACTCATCCACCCACCCCACTCACTCATCCACCCACCCCACTCACTCATCCACCCACCCCACTCACTATCCACCCACCCCACTCACTCATCCACCCACCCCACTCACTCATCCACCCACCCCACTCACTCATCCACCCACCCCACTCACTCATCCACCCTCCCCACTCATCCACCCACTCATTCAATCACCCATCCAATCAATCACCCATTCACCAAATCACCCACTCACTCGCTCACTCACCCACCCACCCACTCATTCAATCACCCACTCATCCACTCACCCAATCACCCACTCACTCAATCACCCACAAACTCACCCATCCACTTATCTACTCACCCATCCACTCACCCAATCGTCCACCGACTTGGGTTTCCAGGTGGGCACCCGAGCTGCGATGGAACTTTCCTTGTGAGCCGACAGGTGACGAAGTCTTACCTGGCGGTGGAGTCTCACCTGATGACGGGGTCTCACCTGGTGTGCAGGTGAGAAGAAGGAGGAGCCAGGATGCGCGTGGTGGTGATTGGGCAGAGCCTGTTCGGCCTGGACGTGTACCGGGGCCTGCGCGAGGATGGCCACGAGGTTGTGGGCGTGTTCACCATCCCCGACACGGACGGGAGGCCAGACCCCCTTGGTGAGTAACCCCCGAAACTCCATCGACCCTCCGAAATACCATCTATCCACTCGAAACCCTACACACATCTCGGATGAGTCGGTGAGTGACCGAGTGAGTCGGTGAGTGACCGAGTGGATGCGTGATTGAGCGAGCGGGCGTGCGAGCGACCCGCTGAGCGGGCGAGCGACCCACCGAGCGGGCGAGCGACCCGCCGAGCGAGCGAGGCGGTTGACCGGGGCGTCCGTCCCCTTCCGCGTCGCCTCCCAGGTGCGGCGGCCGAGGCGGACGCGGTGCCCGTCTTCAAGCCGCCGCGCTGGCGCCTCAAGGGGCAGCCCGTGGCGGCCCTGCTGGACACGTACCGCGGCCTGGGCGCCGAGCTCAACGTGCTGCCCTTCTGCTCGCAGTTCATCCCCATGGAGGTGATCGACCACCCGCGGCACGGCTCCATCATCTACCACCCGTCGCTGCTGCCGCGGCACCGCGGGGCCTCCGCCATCAACTGGTGCGGAGGGGCGGAGGGCGGGGGATGATGAATGATGATAGTGGGGATGGATGGTGGTGGTGCCAGGGGTGGCGGTGGTGGTCGTGGGGATGGGGGTGATGATGATGATGGTTGGGATGGATTCTATTGGGATGGGGTGGTGATGGTGATGATGGTAGTGGTGGGGATGGGAGTGATGATGGTGATGGTTGGGATGGAGGTGGTGATGCCGGTGGTGGTGGTCGTGGGAATGGGGGTGGTGTTGTTGGTAGTTGCGATGGGGTGGTGATTGTGATGCTGCTGCTGCTACTGCTGCTTATGCTACTTCTGCTGATGATTATGCTGCTGATGCTGCCGATGATGCTGCTGATAATGCTGCCGCCGCCGCCGCCGCGCCCCAGGACACTGATCCACGGGGACGCGAGGGGCGGCTTCTCGGTGTTCTGGGCGGACGCGGGGCTGGACACGGGCCCCCTGCTGCTGCAGAGGGAGTGCGCCGTGCTGCCTGACGACACCGTCAGCTCCATCTACAAGCGCTTCCTCTACCCGCAGGGGGTCACCGCCATGGTGCGGGGGGAAGGGGGGAGGGGGAGGGGTGGGCGGGGGGGCGTTGGCAGCGGGGGGCATAAAGACTCAGGCACAGACGAGGGGGAGGGGTGGGGCCGGGTGGGGATTGTGGGTGGCAGGGGAAAGAGGGTGGTGCGAAAATTTGACCACTATAGTAATGGGGGGGGGGGGGTAGGGTGGAGGGTGAGTGAGGGGGAATGAAGGCTATGGTATGGGGGGGTGGGGGGGGCAAGGGGGGCATGAAGGCCAAGGTACAAAGGGTAGGGGGGTGGTCTGAGGGTGGGGGGGATGGAGAGAGGGGGGCGTGACACGGGAGGGGAGGGTACCCCCCCCCTCCACCACCTCCTCCAATTCTGCCTCTGTGCCCCCAGGTGGAGGCAGTGCGAATGATCGCTGACGGCACGGCCCCCCGCATCCTCCAGCCGGAGGAGGGGGCCACTTACGAGGGCATCCAGAAGAAAGACAACGCGCAGGTGAGCTCCCCACGAGCTCCTCGTGACCCCAGATGACTCCGGTGACCCCTGATGACCCCAAGGCGGTCCCAACGGCGGTGACGGGGCTTGGCGGCAGCGAGTTGTTGCCGCTTGTTGCCGAGGTTCCTGGTTTGAACCCAGCGGGGCCACCCAGGTCAATACTGCGGTTGTCTGCGCAGTCACCACGGTAAAAACAAAAAACTCTGCGACGTCCACTTCGCCCGCGGCGGCCGTTACAAGATCCCATGACGTCATTCGCAAGAGTAGGCCGCTGCGTGCCGGCGTAAAAGTACCAAATTTGACAAATAAAATAAAAATCGCACCGCAAATTGCTCAGTCATCGCCCCCCGCTACTGGAAAACGGAATGCCCGCTCGCAGGCCAGGTGCTGCATACTCCTCGTGGCGCACGGGGAGAGCTGCCACTGGGGGTGCCCTTCCACTGGTTGAGATGTCAGGCGCCGTGAGTCGCACGGTCACAACGGGCACGGGGCCCGGCGTGGAGCGAGCGGCTCACAGCTACCGGACTCTCGCGAGTTCACATCTCTGTCGGAGGTTGACTCAGCCCCTCCCTCCCCTTCCTCCCCTCCCCTCCCTCTCCTTCTTGCACTCCACTCCCTCCCTCCCCTCCCCTCCCTCCCCTTCTTCCACTCCACTCTCTCCCTCTCTCCCCTCCCCTCCCTCCCCTTCTTCCACTCCACTCCCTCCCTCCCTCCCCTTCTTCTACTCCACTCCCTCCCTCCCCTCCCCTCCCTCCCCTTCTTCTACTCCACTCCCTCCCTCCCCTCCCCTCCCTCCCCTTTTTCCACTCCACTCCCTCCATCCCTCCCTCCGCCTGGGGTCGATTAAACGAGTACCACATTGTGGGAAATGTCAATCCTTTTTATTTGTCTTCTATGGATAGACTCGTCCCGGTCATAGGAACGTGGAATTGCTACCACTGGCTTTGAATGACTGGAAACAGGAGATGAGCACCAATATTATAATTTTTATTATCCAAGACGACCTGAGATGACCCAAGGTGACCCCGAGTGACCCCGGCTGACTGGTGTGTGCTGTCGTGCAGGTGAACTGGGATCAGCCGGCGCTCGCGATTCACAACTGGATCAGAGGCAACGATAAAGTTCCCGGGGCGTGGACGTTGATCGACGGAGAGGTGAGAGAGGCCCCCACCTCCTCCTCCGACTCTCTCTGTCTCTCCCATTCACCTCCTGCCGACAGGCCGCGCTCCCCACCCCAACAATCTGGCTGTCGCCTGATGAAGCTAGTTGTAATGACTGGTGAAACGTCGTACTCACATCGTAAATGTTGTGGCTTGGTTGTGCTAGTGACGATTCGGAATGTTCTGTTTACATGACAACCCCTTACTAATTGGCTGCGTCGGGTGGTGGCGGGTTTAACGACACATTTATATATTTACGCGATCTAACCCAAAAAAACCTCTTATGGATACAGAAGCTACACACCCAACATTCCTCCTGCACATGCTGCTGATGATGACGATTCTGCTGATGATGATGCTGATGATGACGATTTTGCTGATGATGATGCTGATGATGATGCTGATGGTGACGATTCTGCTGCTGATGATGATGATGCTGATGATGATGCTGATGGTGTTCCCCCTGCTGCCCTCTCAGCGCGTCTCCCTGTTCAGCTCCTCGCTCTTCGAGGGCCCGTCCCCCACGGGGCAGCCCCTACCCATCGAGGGGGCAGCGCAACCCGGGGTCGTGACCCCACAGGGGCTGGTGCTGTTCGGCAATGATGGCAAAATGGTGACGCTCGCTCAGTCACTCGCTCGGTCACTCACTCGCTCGGTCACTCACTTGGTCACTCAATCGGTCACTCACTCAGACACTCCCTCGGTCACTCGCTTGGTCACTCGCTCGGTCACTCGCTCAACCACTCGCTCGGTCGCTCAATCGGTCACTCACTCAGTCCCTCGCTCGGTCACTCACTCGCTCGGTCACTCACTCGGTCACTCAATCGGTCACTCACTCAGACACTCCCTCGGTCACTCGCTCGGTCACTCGCTCGGTCACTCGCTCAACCACTCGCTCGGTCGCTCAATCAGTCACTCACTCAGTCACTCGCTCGGTCACTCCCTCAGTCACTCGCTCGGTCACTCGCTCGGTCACTCGCTCAACCACTCGCTCGGTCGCTCAATCAGTCACTCTCTCAGTCACTCGCTCGGTCACTCGCTCGGTCACTCGCTCAACCACTTGCTCGGTCGCTCAATTGGTCACTCACTCGGTCACTCAGTCATTCCCTCTGTAACTCCCTCTGTAACTCATTATGTCACTCGCTCGGTCACTCTTTCTGTAACTCACTCTGTCACTCGCCCGGTCACTCACTCAGTCACTCACTCTGTCACTCCCTTGGCCACGCGCTCGGCCACTCGCTCGGCCACTCAAGTGGGACTGCATAGAGGCTCCTCCTGCCTTTGTGATGGCCTTTCCACTATAAGAGTGACAGCGCCAATACCGAATGTACTCAATAATGATGGTGATGGTTAATGATGATGGTGATGATGATGGTGGTGGTTATGATAGTGGTGATGATGATGAGATGATGGAAATGATGAAGGTGGTGATGGTAGTTTATGGTGGTGATGGTGATCATGATGGTGGTGATGGTGGTGGTGATGAGTTGACGGTAATTATGATGGTGGTGATGGTAGTGATGGTGGTGGTGGTGATGATGATGGTGGTGATGATGTAATGGTGATGGTGCGATGTTTGATCTGGTTGCGAGCGAGCGTGGGGAACGCGTGGAGCGGCCGGCTCTGCCACACTGCGTGTCTGTGTCTATGGACGTGGTGCTGGCTACCCACACCGTGCCGGCCTTCGTAGGTGCTCGTTAAACAGCACTTGCCCCAACAGCCTGTTAAGGCTAAACGGGAGATCTTTGTGTGTCTGTGTGCAGCTCAGGGTGCAGGTGCTGCAGCTGGAGAGCGGGAAGACAATCCCCGCCTCGGCCTACTTCTCCCAGGGGGATGCGCAGAGCCTGGAGCTCTCCGACAGCGAGAGGGACGTCGCCGATAGAGTGCGGGTACGGAACCGAAGGCAAAATGCCTTCACCGGGGGAAGCACCCACACACACAGGCCTGCAGCGCCAAGTGCTGTTGGCGAGTAGCGCTTATAAAGGCCGGGGAAGCCAGCGCCACGCCTCCCTCCGTTCTGGTTGGAGGGCGAATGCCTCCACCTGCCCAGTAGCGTCCTTCAAGGAGCCTCCTCCACACACTCACGCAAAGACAAAGATCCCCCGTGTAGCCTTAACAGACTGTCGGGGCAAGTGCTGTTAGTGAGCACCTATGAAGGCCGGCACGGCACACGAGGGGGTGGGTGGCCAGCACCACGCCCGACCGCCTTTGTCTCCCCAGTTCCGATGTTTACACACCGCACCAGGTACTCATTTAAGGCTGAGTCGACCTAGGGGAGGCCCAGGACCGGTTCAGATAATCGTCACTGGTGTTGGCCGTGAGCGGGAATCAAACCCGGGTCGCCAGGTTCATAGCGCGGCGCGCTAACTGCTACACTACCGCTCCCCACTCACACACACATGCTCACACACATGCACACGCACGCACACGCACGCATGCACACACTCGCCGTACCCATCATCACCGCCGGGAGTGTAAACCTCGGTTTTGACCCCAGGCCGTGTGGAAGGGCATCCTGAGCAACGTGGATGAGGTGGTGGATGCCACGGACTTCTTCAAGAGTGGAGCCGGCTCCATGGACGTCGTGCGGTGAGCTCACGGGGTCGCGGGGTCACGGGGTCGCGGGGTCACGGATGTCACGAGGTCACGGCGTCGCGGTTGCAGGGTCATGAGGTGACAGGGTTGTCGGTAATGAGGTGACGAGGTGGGAAGACGATGAATTCACGGGGTGATTGACCAAGCAGATGATGGTGCTACGTCATGTTGGATTGAGGAGGTCGTGCGACGACGATGACGCGGCAGGCTGGTGGAGGAGGTGAGGGCGTAATGACGAGGTGATGTGACGACGTGGCAGGTTGGTGGAGGAGGTGAGGATGCTGTGCAGCGAGGTGGTGCTGCAGAACGAGGAGGTGTACATGGCGAGCTCCTTCGCCGAGTTCATCCAGATGGTCGTGCGCAAGATGCGCGGGGAGGGCGGCACGGGGGACATCGTCGTGGACCACGTGAGACACGCGGAGACACGTAGAGACGCACAGAGACAAGAGAGACACGTAGAGACACGCGGAGACACGTAGATACGCACGGGTACACAGAGACACGGAGAGACACGCAGAGACATGTAGAGACGCACAGAGACAAGAGAGACACGTAGAGACACGCGGAGACACGTAGAGACGCACGGGTACACAGAGACACGGAGAGACACGCAGAGACATGTAGAGACGCACGGGCACACAGAGACACGGAGAGACACGCGGAGACACGTAGAGATGCACGGGTACACAGAGACACGGAGAGACACGCGGAGACACGTAGAGACGCACGGGTACACAGAGACACGGAGAGACACGCGGAGACACGTAGAGACGCACGGGTACACAGAGACACGGAGAGACACGCAGAGACACGTAGAGACGCACGGGCACACAGAGACACGGAGAGACACGCAGAGACACGTAGAGACGCACGGGTACACAGAGACACGGAGAGACACGCAGAGACACGTAGAGACGCACGGGCACACAGAGACACGGAGAGACACGCAGAGACACGTAGAGACGCACGGGTACACAGAGACACGAAGAGACACGCGGAGACACGGGGAGGCACGTGGACACCCGCGGACACACGGGGAGACTGGGACACGGGGGCGCTCGGACACGGGGATATACGGGGAGCCACACGGGGACATGGGGAGCCACGCGGGGACATGGGGACGCAGGGACATGGAGACACGGGGATGTGCAGAGACGTGGAGACATGGGGACACAGGGAGACACGGGGGACGTGGGGTCGCGGGGAGACGTGGGGAGACACGGGGAGACGTGGGGTCGCGGGGAGACGTGGGGAGACACGAGGAGACACGAGGAGACACGGGGGGACGTGGGGAGACACGAGGAGACACGGGGAGACGCGGGGAGACGTGGGGAGACACGGGGAGACACGGGGAGACACGGCGAGTTCTGCCGTCCCGCAGGTGGTGCTGGAGGTGAACGCGATGACCGTGAGAATCCCGCACCAGGGATTCATCGGGGGGGAGTTCGTGGACGCGGCCGAGGGGGCGACCTACGAGACGGTGAACCCGGCCACGGGAACGGTGAGTGGGCGCTCACCTGGCGCCAGGGGGATTGGGGGGGGAGTGGGGAGGGGGTGGAAGGGGTTGGTGGTGATCATGGTGATAGAGGTGTTTTTGTTTCGAGTTTGTGGTAAAGTTGGTGGTGGTGGTGGTGGTGATGATGATGCTGGTGGAGGTTAACATGGTGGCGCTGACCATCATGGCTCACATCAGTGGCTCGGTGACATCTGAAACAGCCCTTTCCCCCATACTTTCACTAACCAGTGCGGTGAAGTATGGTCAAACAACCCCTACGGCCAACACAGCGTGGGGGGGGGAGGGGGGGGGGTTGCGGGTCTTCATCCAGCAGTGGAGTGACACAAGTGCGTTGTCCCCGTGTCACCCCGCGTCCCCGCAGGCCATCTGCTCCGTGTCTCTGTGCACGGCCCCTGATGTGGACCGCGCCGTCGCGGCCGCCAAGGAGGCGTTCGAGCGCGGGGAGTGGAGCCGCATGAACGCACGCGACCGCGGGAACCTCATGTACAGGTGCGCGCACACGGCAGCACTTGCCCCACCGGCCCGTGTGGGCCATACGGGGAAGGGGAACCTTTGTCTTCATCTTTCTGGGCTGCTCTTCCGGAACATCTGGGCTGGCACAGACACACGTCCACGTGACCCACCGACCCGGCATGACCCACTGACGGAGATGGCCCACTGGCCCCACCAATGAGATGAATCTCTCACCGGATGACCCACTGACCGGGTGACCTCCCCCCCCTCATGACCTCCCCCCGTCATGACCCCCTGCCCCCCACCCCGTGCACGACCCCAGGCTGGCGGACCTGATGGAGCAGCACCAGGAGGAGCTGGCCACGATCGAGTCGCTGGACTCGGGCGCCGTGTTCACGCTCGCGCTCAAGACGCACGTGGGGATGTCCATCCAGACGTTCCGCTACTTCGCAGGCTGGTGCGACAAGATCCAGGTGAGACGTGGCGGGGGAGACGCGGGGGTGGGGGGGAGACAGGGTGGGGGAGACGCGGGGGAGACGCGGGGGTGGGGGGGGAGACGCGGGGGTGGGGGGGAGACGCGAGGGTGGGGGGAAGACACGGCGGGGGAGACGCGTAGGGGAGATAGGGGGGAGGACAACAGGAAGGAGATTGTCTTCCTAAGCTTGACCTCTGACCTGGCCTTTGCCCCCTCTCTCACCCTCTGCCCCCCCCCTCAGGGCTCCACCATCCCCATCAACCACGCACGACCCAACCGCAACTTGACCTTCACGAAGCGCGAGCCACTCGGGTGGGTCACCGGCCTCACCGAGGTCACCGAGGTCACCGAGGTCACTGGGGTCACTGGGGTTACACACGGCCTCTGGTGTTTATGGAACTGCAATAATTACATTTTCACATCCACCGTGTCCCCCCGTGTCCCCCCGTGTCCCCCCGTGTCTCCCGTGTCTCCCCGTGTCCCCACTACTGTGTCTCTGCAGGGTGTGTGCTATCGTCATCCCCTGGAACTACCCACTCATGATGCTGTCGTGGAAACTTGCCGCGTGCCTCGCCGCCGGCAACACGGCCGTGGTGAAACCGGCGCAGGTCAACAACCGCCATAACCACCACCGCATCCAGCACCAACCACAACCTGACCCACCATCACAAACACCACCGCATCCAGCACCAACCACAACCACCACCAGACCCACCATCACAAACACCACCGCAACCACCACCACAACTACAACACCGCCACTAAAACTCACACCACCTCTAACACCAACACAACAACTCTACAACCACATCCAGCAACACAGAAACACCACAATGCTGATGATGCAGACGATGACGCTGACGATAATGCTGATGATGATGCCGATGATGATGATGATGCCGATGATAATGATGCGATGCCGATGATGATGCTGTGTGCAGGTGACTCCGCTCAGCGCGCTTAAGTTTGCGGAGCTCGTAGCAAAGGCCGGATTCCCCAAGGGAGTCATCAACATCCTCCCTGGCCCGGGTATCCCTCACCCACTCACCTCTCTTCATCCACCACCCTCACTCACCCCTCTTCATCCACCACCCTCACTCACCCCTCCATCCCCTCTCACCCTCCCCTCTCCCCTCCCCCTGCCTCAATGATCCACTGACCAACACCTGTGCACATGACCTCATGACCCACTGCCCCTGACCTCATGCCCATGACCTACTGACTCTGTCCCAACCCTGATCCAAATCTAACCCTGACCTGTTCCACTGACCCACGAATGCACTGACCCACACCTGTGTCCATGACCCCATGACCCACGAACCCAGGCTCAGTGGTGGGCCAGCGGCTGTCGGAGCACCCGGATGTACGGAAGCTCGGGTTTACGGGCTCCACCGACGTCGGCAAGCAGATCATGAAGAGGTGAGTCCAGGTAGAAATCATCGGAATAGGATCGTTGAAGAGGTGAGCCCAGGTAAAAATCTTTGGAAGAGGTGAGCCCCGGTAGAAATTCTCGGAATCAGATCGTTGAAGAGGTGAGCCCCGGTAGAAATCCTCGGAATCAGATCATGAAGAGGTGAGCCCCGTGAGAAATCTTCGGAAGAGGTGAGCCCCGGTAGAAATCCTCGGAATTAGATCATGAAGAGGTGAGCCCAGGTAGAAATCTTTGGAATCAGATCATGAAGAGGTGAGCCCCGTGAGAAATCTTCGGAATCAGATCGTGAAGAGGTGAGCCCAGGTAGAAATCTTCGGAAGAGGTGAGCCCCGGTAGAAATTCCTAGAAGCAGATCATCAACAGGTGAGCTCTGTAGAAATGCTCGAAAGCAGGTCATAAAGAGGTCAGACCCGGTAGAAAGCATCGAAAGCTCCTACTCTGCAATATATATGGGGTGGTGAGATGTATTAATACTCATTAATTGGCTGAAACGTTTTGGGAAATTGTTGGTAGCGCTGGCTCCTCACCCCTTGGCTGCTGCTGCTGATGATGATGATGATGATGCTGCTGCTGATGATGCTGCTGCTACTGCTTATGATGCTGCTGCTGCTGATGATGATGCTGCTGCTGCTGCCTCCCTACTCGTCTGGTTTCCTGGTTGGCGATCGCGAGAGACGCGGTGCGCATGAGCGACGCTGCCACCACTCACCATCGTCATCACCGTGGTCGTCACCGTCGTCGTCACCGTCATTGCGGCCCAACGGCAGAGCGTTCACCGATTGCCACAGAAGTTCGCGGTTCGAATCTGGCAGGCCGTCCCGGTTTAATACCTCGGTGGCAGCTGCTTCACTCGCAGTGGACGTTGCAGATCCCGGGAGGCCGTTCGCAAGAGCACGCCCACGTGACACCATTGGCCAAATGTTAAACGTGAACCCACAACTTACTCGATTGGGATCACGCGCCCTACTGGTAGACCAACGCCTGCTCACAGGCCCAAGTATCGAGTCACCTTGTGCCACACAGGGACAGCTGCCACTGGGCGTGCCCTTCCATGTGTTTCAGATGAGGTGTAATGGTGCTCCGGCATGACGGAGGGCACTCTATCAATCACAGTGTCATCATCATCATCACCACCGTCGTATCGATGAGGTATTACCCATAACCCACCATGACACCGCGTCACCTGTCTCTGTGCCGCCACACAGCTGTGCCACGGTCAATCTGAAGAAAGTGTCTCTGGAGCTGGGTGGCAAGTCCCCCCTCATCATCTTCAACGACTGTGACCTGGACAAGGCGATCCGCATGGTACGCCCCCCCCCCAACCCATCCTCCAGCCCCCCACTCCACATTACCACCTCCTTTACCTCCCCTCGTCCACTCTCACCCTGATCATACCCCCCACCCACCCCCCTAACCATGCCTCCCCCGTGTCCCCGTCTCCTTGTCTCTCCATGTCCTCGTCTCCCCGTGTCCCCGTGTCCCCGTGTCCCCGTGTTCCCATCTCCCCCTATGTCCATCCGCGTGTCCCCGTATCCCCGCATCCTCATGTTCCCGTCTTCCCGTGTCCCTGTCTTCCCGTGTTCCCTTATCTCCACCCGCGTGTTCCTGTGTCCCCGTGTCCCCGTGTCACCGCAGGGCATGAGTGCCGTGTTCTTTAACAAGGGGGAGAACTGTATCGCCGCGGGGCGGCTGTTTCTGGAGGACGGGATCCACGACACGTTCGTCACCAGAGTGGTGACTCCTGCACCACCACCACCACCTCCACAACAACAACACCAAACAACAGACATTCAACTACAACCGCCAACAACAACAATCAACAATAATAAGAGCCTCATGTGTCACCGCGTGTCCCTGCGTGTCACGGTGGCGAGATGTTAACTACCTCGCCGGGTATGCAGGAGGTCGTGGGTTCGATCCCGACCCTGATGCCTGTTGTATATTTGGAGTTTGCGTGTCTCTCTCCATGTAGTCGCGTGGATTTTTTCTCCGGGTCCTCCGGTTTTTTTCCTCCACATTTATAAACTTGCGTTGAGATTATTATTTGGCTGCTATAAATGTCTACGCGATAAGCCACTTCGTAGAGCGATCATATGTGTGGCCAGGTCGCTTCTGAAAATGAGATGTACAGCTCAGTGGGCCTAACCTGGTTAAAAAAATATTGTTTAGTTTACACCATTGGAACCTCATTTGCCAGAAGAAAAAATATATTTGGTTTTTTACCCTTTTTTATCTGGCAACAAAACTGACACCTTTTTTTTCTTTCTGGCAAATGAGGTTCCAATGGTGTAAATGCTTACCCCGAGCTCTCATACTCTGATGGTGCATTGTCTTTGAGTTGTGCGCCTTTTGGCGTCATCTGGTCCAACACCATGTGAGACTAGGCTCTAAAGAAAGCTGTCTCGGGTGTGGACCAATCAACTTCAAGGACAGTGCATACATTATCAGAGTTTTGTTTTTTGTTTGCATTACGACTGCAGGTATTGTGGTCAATGCAAACATGACTCCTTGTAAAAAAGGTGTCATTTTTGTTGCCAGATTAAAAGGGTAAAAAACCATCTTCTTCATAATAAAATAATTCTCACGACGTTTCGGCCACAACGCAAGCAGCCGTCCTCAGGTGAAGACCAGGTCTGTCGGGGAGACAGCGTCTGAATATGTTTTATTATTATAATTTCATTACTTCCCTTCTACGTGACTTTACCGAAAGAACCAAGAAGATAAATCCCTGCAGTCACGAAAGCTTTAAATCGAAAGGTAAAAAAACAATTATCATTGTTTAGTTTGTTTATTGCCCCCGCGTGCCCCCTTCGTATCTCCGTGTGTGTGTCCCCCCCCCCCGTGTCCCCCGTGCAGGTGGAGGAAGTGCGCAAGATGAAGGTGGGAGACCCCCTGGACCGCAGCACGGACCATGGCCCCCAGAACCACGCCTCGCATCTCAGGAAGCTACTCGAGTTCTGCGAGCGCGGCCGAAAAGAGGGGGCCAAGCTCATGTGTGGTGGGGGGCAGGTGAAGCGGCCAGGTGAGGGAGGCGGGGGGTGGTGGGGGTGTGTGTCTACGTGTGTGGGGGGGAGGGCACAGGGCACAGGAGTGCAGCGGTTAGCGCTACGCTGCGCTACGAGCCCGGCGACCCGAGTTCGATTCCCGCTCACGGCGGCCAACACCGGTGACGATTATCTGAATCGTTCCTGGGCCACCCCCTAGGTAGAACAACTGAGCACCTGGTGCGGTGTGTAAACATCGCCACCGGGGAGACAAAGGCGGCCGGGCGGGGTGCTGCCACCCACCCCCTCGTGTGCCGTGCCGGCCTTCATAGGTGCTCGCTAACAGCACTTGCCCCAACAGTCTGTTACAGGCTATACGGGGGATCTTTGTACAGTACACAACTCTAATACTCGTCCCATTCCTCTGTCCCATGTCTCCCCCACCCTCTCTCCCGTTGTCCCTGTGTCCTGTTCTCTGCACATGTTTCCCGTGTCCCCATATCCCTGTCTCTCCCTCATGTGCCCGTGTCTCTCATGTCCCTCTGTCCCCGTATCCCTTTCACTGCCTGGTGTCCCCGTGTCTCCCTGCTGTTCCTGGCTCTCCCTCATGTCCCGGTGTCTCCCATGTCCCTGTGTCCCCGTATCCCTGTCTCTGCCTGGTGTCCCCGTGTCTCCCCCTGGTGTCCCCGTGTCTCCCTGTTGTTCCTGTCTCTCCCTGTTATCCCCCCATGGTGTCTCCCCCGTGTGCCCCCGTGTCTCCTCGTGTCCCCGCACCGCGTGTCCCCAGGGTTCTTCATGGAGCCCACGGTGTTTATCGACGTGCAGGACCACATGTTCATCGCCCAGGAGGAGTCGTTCGGCCCCATCATGATCATTTCCAGATTCCCCAGCGGGTGAGAGGGGGGGGGGGGCTAGTGGTGGGGGGGCTAGAGTAGGTTCATGGCCTCATGTGTTGCAGATGAGTAGAAAATCAAGATCAAGTGCAGGCACGCTGCAGGGTGCGCTCCGTACAGCGGACCCTGCACGGATGATCTGGCTGGGTGTGTACCGCCCTGTCTACGCGTACCGTGCTGTGTGACGCCGGCTGTGTTTGTGTGCATGACGCTGTGTTTATGTGTGTGGTGCTGTACGATGGTTATGTGTTTGGTGCTTTACGATGGTGTATGACGCTGTGTGTGTGGTGCTGTACAATTCTGTATGACGCTGGCTGTCTGTGTGATGCCCTACGATGCTGTATAACACTGCGTGTATGTGCGGTGCTCTACAATAGTGTATGCTGCTGCTGCTGCATGCGTGAGTAACGCTGTACGATGCTGCTGCGTGACGCTGCGTGTATGCGAGTTCGTTGCACGATGCCGCATGGCACTGGCTGCGTGTGTGCGTGACGCCGTGTGATGCTGCACGGCGCCATACCCCCCCACCCCTCACCCCCCCGGCCCACGTGCTGCCAGAGGACCCAGCCGGGTACGGGTAGCCGTTTGCGACCCTGGTGCGGCCGGGTACGGGTACGGGTAAGGAATCAAAACCCGTTTGCGACCTCTGCGTGCGGCCCGCGTGCAGGGACGACGATGCCGTGTTGCGGCGTGCCAACGCCACGGAGTTTGGGTTGGCGTCGGGCGTGTTCACACGCGACGTGGGGCGAGCGCTGCGTGTGAGCGAGGCGCTCAACGCCGGCACCGTCTTCATCAACACCTACAACAAGACGGACGTAGCGGCGCCCTTTGGGGGCTTCAAGCAGTCGGGCTTCGGCAAGGACCTGGGTGAGCGGGGCGTGCGTGGCGTGCGGGGCAGGTTACGTGGCGGTGGTGGTGGTGTGTGGTGTGGTGTGTGGTGGTGGTGGTGTGGTGTGTGTGGTGGTGGTGTGGTGTGTGTGGTGTGGTGTGGTGGTGTGGTGTGTGGTGGTGGTGTGTGGTGTGGTGTGGTGTCTGGTGGTGGTGGTGTGGTGTGTGGTGTGGTGTGTGGTGGTGGTGTGTGGTGTGGTGTGCTGCTGGTGTGGTGTGCTGCTGGTGTGGTGTGGTGCGCTGCTGGGGTGGTGTGGTGTGCTGCTGGTGTGGTGTAGTGTGGTGTGGTGTGCTCCTTGTGTGGTGTGGTGTGCTGCTGGTGTGGTGTGCTCCTTGTGTGGTGTGGTGTGCTGCTGGTGTGGTGTGCTGCTAGTGTCGTGTGCTGCTGGTATAGTGTGGTGTGCTGCTGGTGTGGCGTGCTCACGTCGGCGTGCCGTGTGTCCGCATGTCTCCGCAGGCGAGGAAGCTCTCAATGAGTATCTGCGCACCAAGTGTGTGACTGTAGAGTATTGAGCAGCAACACCTCGTCAACCTCACCTCGTCACACCTCGTCACACTCACCTCGTCACACCCACCTCATCACACTCACCTCGTCACACTCACCTCGTCACACTCACCTCGTCACACTCACCTCGTCAACCTCACCTCGTCACACTCACCTCGTCACACTCACCTCGTCACACTCACCTCATCACACTCACCTCGTCACACTCACCTCGTCAACCTCACCTCGTCACACTCACCTCATCACACTCACCTCGTCACACTCACCTCGTCACACTCACCTCGTCACACTCACCTCGTCACACTCACCTCGTCACACCTCGTCACACTCACCTCGTCCTTAACACCTCATCACACACCTCGTCACACTCACCTCGTCACACCCACCTCGTCACACTCACCTCGTCACACTCACCTCGTCACACTCACCACGTCACACTCACCTCGTCACACCTCGTCACGCTACGGGGTCTGTGATTGTCACTCACCACGCACCTCTCATGAACCTGAACACTCACCCCATGACCCATATATTATTATTGTTACTATATGCAGGGTGCTTCAAAACAATGTTTTTAACACTTCTGAGAATTGACAACAAACAAGATCACGAGACACGTGCTGCCTCCGGGACTCTGGAGACCACCTGGAGAAGATCCCAGGCGCGTGTTGACAACGATGGCGAACAAGTGGAGACTCTAACATTTTGAAGCTATGAACATTTGTTATCACGCTACAGTTCATTGTCCGTTCTTTTTTAAAATCCTTTATATTAAGTTCACTTGCTTGCTTGCTTGCGCGCTTACGACCGTGCAAATCTTTCGGTCGTTTTTTAACCCACTCCCCGTGATCCAATCGAGCTGACATTTTGCACACAGACTCGTTGTGCGTGACAATTTATTTTCGTAAATTTTTTTTTCCATAACTTTACACTTTTTAGGAATTTTTAAAAATATTTAATTACCAATTGCTTAATGGTGGCAGGCAATCATCTGACCCATAGGTGGCAGCCATCTCAAGCCAGAGGACGAGAGGACTCTAGCCGCCACGCATATAAAGGATTTATAGTGAAAAACTTTGGTTTTTACGAGTTAATTTTTCCCCTATAAAAACGATAGTCCCGTGTGAGTGTGAACATTTTTTTGAAGCACCCTGCATATCAGCCACACTTCTCATCACACGTAATTAGCCAATGACGCACCTCTGCAAAACCTCATCACCCACACCCCTGCCAATGCCACCTCTTCGGAGAGCGAATATCGTTCATCGTCCTCCCCCCCCACTTGGAACAGCGACCCTTTCTCGAGCTCTCCCGCACCGCGTCACCCACCGCGTCGCCCGCACCACGCCACCGCTGATCCGTGACCAATTAAAAAACAATCAAGGCCCCCCCCGTGTTGACTCTGTGGATTCATCGGTTTCGGGTCCTGCGGTCCCGGTGCACATGGGGCCGGGGTGAGTGGTGAGGGGTCGGTGGTGAGGGGTGGTGAGGAATGGGTGATGAGGAATGGGTGCTGAGGGGTGAGGGGTGAGTGGTGAGGGATGGTGTGGGATGGGTGGTTAGATGAGTGGGTGGGTGAGTGAGTTGTTGTGACCTGCAGTGTGGTGAGTGCGTGATTAGATGAGTGAGTGGGTGAGTGAGTTGTGACCTGCAGTGTGGTGAGTGCGTGGTTAGATGAGTGTAGATGAGTGAGTTGTTGTGACCTGCAGTGTGGTGAGTGGGTGATTAGATGAGTGGGTAGATGAGTGAGTTGTTGTGACCTGCAGTGTGGTGAGTGCGTGGTTAGATGAGTGAGTGAGTTGTTGTGACCTACAGTGTGGTGAGTGCGTGGTTAGATGAGTGGGTGAGTGAGTTGTTGTGACCTGCAGTGTGGTGAGTGGGTGGTTAGATGAGTGGGTAGGTGAGTGAGTTGTTGTGACTTGCAGTGTGGTGAGTGCGTGGTTAGATGAGTGCCTAGGTGAGTGAGTTGTTGTGACCTGCAGTGTGGTGAGTGGGTGGGTAGATGAGTGGGTCGGTGAGTGAGTTGTTGTGACCTGCAGTGTGGTGAGTGGGTGGTTAGATGAGTGGGTGGGTGAGTGAGTTGTTGTGACCTGCAGTGTGGTGAGTGCGTGATTAGATGAGTGAGTGGGTGAGTGAGTTGTGACCTGCAGTGTGGTGAGTGCGTGGTTAGATGAGTGTAGATGAGTGAGTTGTTGTGACCTGCAGTGTGGTGAGTGGGTGATTAGATGAGTGGGTAGATGAGTGAGTTGTTGTGACCTGCAGTGTGGTGAGTGCGTGGTTAGATGAGTGAGTGAGTTGTTGTGACCTACAGTGTGGTGAGTGCGTGGTTAGATGAGTGGGTGAGTGAGTTGTTGTGACCTGCAGTGTGGTGAGTGGGTGGTTAGATGAGTGGGTAGGTGAGTGAGTTGTTGTGACTTGCAGTGTGGTGAGTGCGTGGTTAGATGAGTGCCTAGGTGAGTGAGTTGTTGTGACCTGCAGTGTGGTGAGTGGGTGGGTAGATGAGTGGGTCGGTGAGTGAGTTGTTGTGACCTGCAGTGTGGTGAGTGGGTGATTAGATGAGTGGGTGGGTGAGTGAGTTGTTGTGACCTGCAGTGTGGTGAGTGGGTGGGTAGATGAGTGGGTGGGTGAGTGAGTTGTTGTGACCTGCAGTGTGGTGAGTGGGTGGGTAGATGAGTGGGTGGGTGAGTGAGTTGTTGTGACCTGCAGTGTGGTGAGTTGGCGTGGTGGCCAGCACCACGCCAGACCGCCTTTGTCTCCCCAGCGACGATGCGTTACACACCGCACCGGGTACTCATTTGAGGCCGAGTCGACCTAGAGGGAATCCCGAGACGGGATCAAACAATCGTCTCTGGGTGTTGGTGTCCGCGAGCGGGAATCGAGCCCGGGTGGCCGGGTTCGTAGCGCTAACCGCTCCGCCACCGCTCCTCCGTAATCGGAGAGGGGGGCCTTCGGAGGAGAAACCCGAGACACGGGGGGGGGGGGGGGGCTGCTGGTGGCTATTTAGGGGACCCGTTGCTCGGTCAAGACCCTAAACCGGCCCCGGGGCTTCTACAAAGGGCCACCTGGGATCCCGTCGGGATCCACACAAGGGAGAGAGGGGGGAGGCCTGTGAGGGATTACGAGATTTGGAAGCGGTAGGGGTCTCTAACGGGGCCCTGACAGGAGCAAGGGGGTTTAAACGGACCTGGGGGATGGGGGGGTAATTTAAAGGGACTGGTAAAGTGGTGACCCCCAGTGCGTAAGAGTGCCCAGCAGAGGGCGTGAGAGATCCTCTCTCAGCGCCAGAGCCACTCCTCCTGCGTGCCCACCCCCCTCCCGAGGAAGAGTTTAAACCCCCTCGATCCGGCCGTAGAAAAATAAAAGGGGGACCCGACCCCGCGAAGACCCCCGGTGCCATGGACCCCCTCAGCCGGGTGAGGTCGCCCCTCGCCGGGGAAGCCGCGCAGGCGAGACCGAGGCTGGAGGCCCGCAGACGCCGGGGGGAGACGGGGACCCCCGTGGGGAGAGGGGCTCGGGCAGACGAGGGGACCCCCGTGAGCAAGGGGGTAGAGGAGGGAGCCGCCTCCATTGCCATGCAAGTCGTGCTTCCTTTTCTCCTCGCCGGGCTTGGCACGGCCGGAGCCGGTACCGTGTTGGACAACGTGCAGGTGCGGGGAGGTATGGCTGCTGATGATGATGTTGATGCTGCTGATGATGTTGATGATGCTGATGATGTTGCTGCTGCTGCTAATGATGTTGTTGCTGCTGCTGATGATGTTGCTGCTGCTGATGATGTTGCTGCTGATGATGATGTTGCTGATGATGTTGATGTGGCTGATGATGATGTTGCTGAAGGTGATGATGTTGCTGATGATGATGATGTTGCTGAAGGTGATGGTGAGGTGGTAGTAAGGGTGAGCTAACTGTTGACGGTGATGGTGGGATACGGTTGAGGTGTTGATGCTGGCGACGATGTTGCCGCTGCTGCTGGCGATGAAAATGAGGGTGAGTGTACAGGTGAGTGTGAATGAGTATACAGGTGAGTGTACAGGTGAGTGTGAATGAGTATACAGGTGAGTGTACAGGTGAGTGTACAGGTGAGTGTACAGGTGAGTGTGAATGAGTATACAGGTGAGGGTGAGTGAATGTACAGGTGAGGGTGAGTGAGTGTACAGGTGAGTGTACAGGTGAGTGTACAGGTGAGTGTACAGGTGAGGGTGAGTTGAGTGCGTGGTGCAGGTGAGTGTAAAGGTGAGGGTGAGTGTACAGATGAGGGTGAGTGTACAGGTGAGTGTACATGTGAGGGTGAGTTGAGTGCGTGGTGCAGGTGAGTGTACAGGTGACTGTACAGGTGAGGGTGAGTTGAGTGCGTGGTGCAGGTGAGTGTAAAGGTGAGGGTGAGTGTACAGATGAGGGTGAGTGTACAGGTGAGTGTACAGGTGAGTTGAGTGCGTGGTGCAGGTGAGGTGTGGTGAGGGGGGCTCCCCTAGGTCGACTCAGCCTCAAATGAGTACCTGCTACGGTGTGTAAACATCGTCACTCGGGAGACAAAGGCGGCCGGGCGTGGTGTTGGCCACCCACCCCCTCTTGCCCCTACAGTCTGTTAAGGCTACACGGGGGATCTTTGTTGCAATGGTGAGGGTGCTGCTGTACGTGCATTAGACGTGGGGGTGACGGCGCGTGGACCCCGCGTGTTGTGATCGGCAGCACTGGGCCGTGTTCCGCGAGCGCTCGGAGTTGTTCATCCTCGTGCCCGCCCTGCTGGGACTCAAGGGGAACTTGGAGATGACGCTCGCCTCGCGACTCTCAACGGCAGTGAGTCTCCCTCCGCGTGTACACACACACACACACGTGTACACACACACAGACACGTGTACACACACACACAGATACGTGCACACACACACACGTGTACACACACACACGTGTACAACAACAACAACCACCGTCGTTCACCACTAGGTGGCGGGCACGTCACCACGGCGCTTGTGCCACGCCACAATAACAAAGCACACGTGCACACGCACGGTCAACAACAGTTACGCGCGCCTGGTGCGGCGAGTGTAAACATCAGCACTGGGGAGACAAGTTCAAGTTCAAGTATTAGGTACAGCCCTGTGAGCCATTCGGCTCTTGAATCGGGTGCAACCGCAACAAACAAAAACATCTTAAAGTGAATATGTGACTAAGTGCAAACAGAAAATCCAAGAAAAGACAGCAAAATATTGCAGAAAAAAGCACCGTACACCAACGCTGTGTGCAAAAATTCCAGTGGGATGCAAGTCAAACAACAACAACAACCACAAGAGACAAAGGCGGCCCGGCGTGGTCCTACTTGCCACACCCGCCGCCGGTACATCATCGGTGCTCGCTAACTGCACTTGCCCCAAAAGTCTGCGTGCGCAACCCCAGGGATCTTCTCCGCTGTCTTTGTCGTGGTCCAGGCGAACAAGGGGGAGATGGATGGATCGGGGCAGCGTCTTCTCATCACCTCCAACATTGCTCTCATCCAGGTGTCGCACGCACGCGTCATGTTTCACGTCGCAACCAAAGCGATTTCCTGCTCATATGAGCATTGGAGTCGTTGATGCTCATCTCTCCGTTTACAGCCCTGACCCAGTGGTGGAATTTCCACGTTCCTAAGGACTTCCCTACAAAGTGGTACTCATTTTATCGACCACAGAGGGTCCATGCTTGAGCCCGAGTCAACCCACCACCCGGATTGTCAATCGCACGTAATCGTATGTGTCTCGGAGTTGCCGCCCGTGTGTCATTGCCGCGTGTGCTGGGGCCGTCAGCTGCAGGCCACGGTGGTCGGCCTCCTGGCCGCACTCTCCGCGGTGCTGCTGGGCTGGATGGGGGGCACCGGGGGAGTGGGGGGCACGGGGGCAGCGGGGGGCTGGGGCCCCTGGCCGGACCCCGCCCGTGTCGCTCACCTCTGCGCCAGCAGCATGTGCACGGCCTTCACAGCGGCACTCGCACTCGGTACGAGCGAGGTGGAGGTGGTTGTGGAGGTGGTTGTGGAGGTGGTTGTGGAGGTGGTGGTGGTGGTAGTGGTGGTAGTGGTGGTGGTGGTAGTGGTGGAGGTGGTGGTGGTGGTGGAGGTGGTGATGGTGGAGCGGTAGTGTAGCGGTTTGCACACTTCAATACGAACCTGGCTTACCGGGTTCGATTCCCGCTCATGGCCAACACCAGTGAGAATGATCTGAACCAGTCCTGGGCCTAGGTCGACTCAGCCTCAAATGAGTACCTTGTGCAGGGTGTAAACATCGCCACTTTGGAGACAAAGGCGGCCGGGCGTGGTGCCGGCCACCCACTCCCTCATGTCTCGTGCCGGCCTTCATACGTGCTACTCGCTAACAGCACTTGCCCCTACAGTCTGCTAAGGCTATGCAGAGTCTTTGGAGCTGATGGAGGGGGGTGGTGTTGGAGCTGGTGTCGGTGGAGGTGGTGGAAATGTTAACGGTGACGATTATGGTAATGATTGTAGTGATGGGAATGGTAGTGATGGTTGTGATGGTGGTGATGATGATAATTGTGGTGGTGGTGATCGTAGTGATGCTGACAATACTAATTGTGACGATGGTGGTACCCAGGCCTGCTCACCGTGGCGGTGATCGTGAGTTCGCGCCGCGCCGGCATCAACCCGGACAACGTGGCGACCCCTGTGGCGGCCAGCCTCGGTGACCTGGTCACCCTGACCCTCCTCGCGCACACCGCCACCTTTCTACAGCACCACGGTACTGGCTCGCACGGCTCATGTCGGGTCACGCAGGGTCACCCTGACCCTTCTCGCATATCATAACACTGGTCAACTAAAAATTTGTTTTTTTTCTGGCCTGGACTTTTGCAGTTGTTTTAGACTAATTTCAGGGTGCCGACTCCAAATCTGATCTCAGATTTGCTCTACCACATCTCATTTTATGCTTTCGGCATACCCCAATTTCATTGATTTTACCCGAAATTAACTCTGTCACTTATGATTGCAAGTTGTTGCGAGTCGGTGACTGCTTTAGTGTTAAAGTATGGTGCTGTATTTTATAATATCATTTTATGTAGATATCCACATTTATTTAATATTTTTTTTCTGTGGTTTTGATTGAAAATGCAATATTTGATATCTCCCTGATGTGATAGACAAAAACTGATGCCGGATTTGGAATCGGCACCCCACAATTACATTAAAACCGTTGGAATACCTTATGCCAGAAAAAGTGTGTTGACCAGTGTAATCGGAGGAGGCCGGGTGGCCGAAAACCTGGGTTCCAATCTGGGTTTCAACCGTCCCCTGGGATTCAAGTGGAGTCTCAGCCGAGTCACCAGGGGACTCACCTCGAGACCCGCAGACTTACAGAGACCCATACACTCACACACGGACCAACAGACTCGGATCGAGACTCATAAACTCGCATAGGCCTAAAAACACACCGAGTATGCAGCTTCTATGGAAAGGACCGCAATGCATTTCTTCTAGAACTATTGAAGGTTGTTGCGTAATCCACAGGGCCGAGTGCGCTCTACACGTGTGCGTGTTGCGTGCAACTGGAGTTGTTTGAGCTCTGTGCCGAACCCCGAGATCCATCTCACCGTTTACAGCTCCGATTTCCGGCGAACGCTGACACTGGCCTCCTCCTGCTCCCCACCCTCCTCTGCGTGTCTCTCCGGCTGTCCCCGTGGTGGTGGTGGTGTTGGTGGCCAGACGCTGGGCTGCTGCCGGGCGCGGTGTGCCTGGCCGTGGTACTGCTGACGCCGCTGTGGGTGGCGCTGGCCTCTCGCTGTCCCACGACCCACGACGTCCTCTACCACGGCTGGACCCCCGTCGTGGCCGCAGTGGCCATCAGTAGGTAAGGGGCGTGGGGGGCAGCCGGGCGTGGTGCTGGCCACTCGCCACTTCGTGTGCCGTGCCGGCCTTCATTGGTGCTGCTCACTAAAAGTTCTCGCCCCAACAGTCTGTTAAGTCTGTTTGTGCTGCAGTGTGGGAGGACTGATTTTAGACAAAACGGTGTCGAACCCGGGATACTCAGGGATGGCCGTCTTCACTCCCATCATCAACGGTGAGGACCCTCACTCCTCACCCCCTACCCTTTCCATAGTGCGCTCACCCCACGCCCACCTCGACCACATGGCAATCACCTCCTGGGGGGGGGGGCCCTACATGGCACTCACTACAACCTCACCCACAATTCTCTCCACCACTGAACACTCACCCCAACCACCCCTGCCCACCCACTCAACACTCACCCACCCAGGATCTTGATGACACTCACCACAACAATCTCCCCTTGTGGAACTCACCTTCCCCACCTACCCCCACCGCCCCCCCCCTCCCCCCCCTCCCCCCCTCCCCCCCCTCCCCCCCAGGTGTGGGAGGGAACCTGGTGGCCGTGCAAGCGAGTCGCATTTCAACTCACCTGCACCTGGGCCATTCACCTGGACTCCCCGCGGGGACCTGGCCCAGCCTCCGAGCCACCTTTTGCGGCCCAGGTGGGACTCACCTGCTCGCTGCACTCTCACCTGTACGCAGGCGGGACTCACCTGTTCTCCAGTTTCACATCAACCATGTGTAGCAAGTGTAGCCCTGTCGATGGTATCTTAGGCACAGGAAATGCATGTGCCAAGTCCAGGTGTGTGTGTGTTTAGGTGTGTGAGTAATAAAGTGTGTGTGCACGCGTGTGTGTGTGTCCTGGGCCTCCCCTAAGTCGACTCAGCCTGAAATGAGTACCTGGTACGGTGTGTAAACATCACCCCTTGAGAGATAAAGGCTGTCGGGCGTGGTGCCACCCACCTCCTCGTGTGCCATTACGGCCTTCATAAGTGCTCACGAACAGCACTTGCCCCAACAGGCTATACAGGGGGTCTTTGTCTTGTGTAGGAGTGTGTGTAAGGAGCGGTGGCGTGGTGGTTAATTCAATTCCTGGACACAGCCAATATCGGTGACGATTATCTGAACAGGTCCTGGGCCTCCCCAAGGTCGACTCGGTGTTAAACGAGTACTCAACGCTGGTCCGATGTGTAAACATATCACCACCGGAAAGACAAAGGTGGCTGGGCATGGATTCCGGCCACACCACCCCCTCGTGTGCCACGCCGACCTTCGTAGATGGTGCTCGCTAACGGCACTTGCCCCAGCAGCCCGTGTGGGCTCCACGGGGGATATTAGTGTAATATGAGGATATATCCGGGTCACTGACATATTACAACTCGTCATGATGATTGGCTCTGCCGGTCCTGGTTTACAGCCAATGGGGGGAAGCCTAGGGGCGTGGCCCTGACGTAATGGAAAGGTGACAGCTGTAATTAGAGGACTGGTTCTGCTGGCTTTGGCCACAGCCAATGGGGAGATGAGTCAGGGGCGTGGTCCCGGGAGCTTATGAGGGAGCCGGGAATATTCCATGGAGGCTAATGAGGATTGGTGGAAACGTACCACGTGACCCGGGTATTAAATAGGGGTGGAGACGTACGACACGGGGTCAGAACGGGAACGAAGAGAGGAAGGGGGCCACGCGTGAGCGGGGCTCCGGGTTGCCACGTGGCAGTGTCTATCTATCCCTCTCACGCTGCCTGTCAGCAGCGTGAAGGAAAGCTGTAATGCAAGTTGAATAAAAGACGGATTCCAGACGTCGCCTCAAAGACCTTTATTACATTAGTGTTTTGTCTTTGTGTTGCAGGCGTGAGCTCTTGCTCGGCCCGCGTGCTGCTCTCCCTCGTGGTCCCGGGTCATGTGACCGTCATGGCCACCGTGCGGTTCCTGCAGGGGCCCGGCCCCACCCCCTTGGCCTTCATCCCCCTCTACCTGGGGGCAGCGTTGCTGCAGGTGAGATGCATACAGACCACGGTCCCCTCCGTGTAGCTTTTAACAGACTATATTCTTAGGTTTTTTCTGTAAAGTCACGTAGGTAAAAATTTTTTAATTAATAAAAGTAAAATAAAAATAAAATAAAAATCACGACGTTTCGGAGGCAACACAAGCTTCCGTCTTCAGGTGGAACCGTCACAGCACGATAGCTGTATCAAGTGAGAGAAATTCCAAGAAACAATATTTGTATATATACTGGTTGAGGGTGGGAGGAGCCAAGGTAGGCCCTGAATATTAACAGACTGTCGGGGCAAGTGCTTTGAGCGAGGACCTATGAAAGCGTCACCAAAGCTGTTGTGCCAGGCTCGGTGCACTTTTAGGTCACGGTACAGACCCAGGTGCCACAGGTTGGCTGATTGAGATGACCGGTAGATGCACCACCTGTGAAGGCCCTTTATTGTTGTGAGCAAAGGGTCAAGGGACTCCGAAAGCACGAAGAATAACCCAGAGACCTGGCAGAGATATATACGTTCTCGTGATATTCTCTACACCTCTGCTACAGCACCTGCACCCGCTCGCGTGTATGTGTGCACGTGCGCAGGTGTGTGTGCTGCTGTGCGTGGCCGCGTGGCTTGTACCCTGGCTCTGGGCTCGTGGCTCGGACCCCGACAGCTGCTCCATCCCATACTTGACCGCCCTGGGCGACCTCCTGGGCACGGCGCTTCTCGCCGCCACCTTCCACGCGCTCCACAATCTCGGCTGGGGGGCCCCCACGCTCTAGCAGGGCCCCCCTCCCCCCAGCCTGGACCCCCTGCTGACCCCTGTGTGACCCCCTCCCCACGCCCCGGGGTTCCGCTCCACGCACCGCGATGTTGGTTACAACCGGGGGAGCGTGTCCCGACTGCCGGTCCGCGTGACCACGCGACCAACCCAAAGCTGTCTCCACGGTGCGTGGGGCAAGCCCACCAATCATCCGGCGCGTGCGGCATGATCTGCATCCGATGGATGTGACTCGTGTGTTCGGCTTTTGCGATTGATATTACAATTAGTAATCTATTTTGGGGTCAGGGAGAGCGGCACAAAGGTGCGTTGCACTCCCAAAACACATCGCTGTGTTGCTGTAGCAGTCGTCAATCGGCCACGCTTAGCCGTGTCGGGTGGAGCAGGGTTTTACGACACACATTTTATCTACGCGATCCGACCCCAAGAAACCCCAGGCATAAATCTTCCCCGTGGGAGGCGAGCGACGCTCGGCGGTGCGGGAGCGGTGGACGGCCGCGAAGCCACGCGCCGGGCGGTGGCGGCGTGTCCGGGTCGCCGCATCTCCCCGTCTCCACGCGGAGATGCGGAGATGGGGGCTCCCGCTTGTCGTTTACACGCTTGCTGAGCACAAGGCCCGTAGCGTCAAAGCGGCCAGTGACAAACAGCACTATTGTCAAAGGAGTGACGGATGACGGTTACTAGCATGCTGCGTGAATGGAGCGACGGTTATTAATTTTGAGAGCTTGGGCGGAAAAGAGACGACGACGATGATTGACCGGAGAGGGGATTTTACAGTGGAGCAGAGCGAGGGGGAAAAACGGAGGGAAGGAAGGTGACCTGCAGTGGCACACCGGTGTGTCGCGCTCCCAACAGAGAGAAGCAGAGGGGAAAAGCGGAGTGAGAAGAGAGCTGACCTTCAGTGTGGTGAGTGGGTGGATGGGTGAGTGAGTTGTTGTGACCTGCAGCGTGGTGAGTGGGTGGATGGGTGTGTGTTGTTGTGACCTGCAGTGTGGTGAGTGGGTGGATGGGTGAGTGCGTTGTTGTGACCTGCAGCGTGGTGAGTGGGTGAGTGCGTTGTTGTGACCCGCAGCGTGGTGAGTGGGTGGATGGGTGAGTGAGTTGTTGTGACCTGCAGTGTGGTGAGTGGGTGGATGGGTGAGTGCGTTGTTGTGACCCGCGGCGTGGTGAGTGGGTGGATGGGTGAGTGTGTTGTTGTGACCTGCAGCGTGGTGAGCGGGTGGATGGGTGAGTGCGTTGTTGTGACCCGCAGCGTGGTGAGTGGGTGGATGGGTGAGTGAGTTGTTGTGACCTGCAGTGTGGTGAGTGGGTGGATGGGTGAGTGCGTTGTTGTGACCTGCAGCGTGGTGAGTGGGTGGATGGGTGAGTGAGTTGTTGTGACCTGCAGTGTGGTGAGTGGGTGGATGGGTGAGTGCGTTGTTGTGACCTGCAGTGTGGTGAGTGGGTGGATGGGTGAGTGTGTTGTTGTGACCTGCAGCGTGGTGAGTGGGTGGATGGGTGAGTGAGTTGTTGTGACCTGCAGCGTGGTGAGTGGGTGGATGGGTGAGTGCGTTGTTGTGACCCGCGGCGTGGTGAGTGGGTGGATGGGTGAGTGTGTTGTTGTGACCTGCAGCGTGGTGAGCGGGTGGATGGGTGAGTGCGTTGTTGTGACCCGCGGCGTGGTGAGTGGGTGGATGGGTGAGTGCGTTGTTGTCACCTGCAGCGTGGTGAGTGGGTGGATGGGTGAGTGCGTTGTTGTGACCCGCAGTGTGGTGGTTGAATGCTGGATGAGACGAAACAATATTTTTAATCCTTCGAGACAGAATTTGGCCCAAATCAAGTGAAACATTCATTTTACGCGCGAGGTTTTCTGTGCAGCCGTTGGCGACCGGGCTGAGACCAGCAACTTGAGAACCCAGTTTAATCACACAGAAGTGTATTTCAGTTTCTGGGTCTCTGTGTAAGTCTCTGGGTCTCGATGGTATTCGCTGCTGACTGGGCTTAGACCGTCAATTCGTTGCTACACTTGAGACCACAGGCAGGAGCTGGAACCTGGATTCGAACCAGGATCTCGGCTGTCCTCTGGCCTCAGAGGCATTGGTGCTATTCTCCTGTTTACAGCCGTGGGCCAATGGTGGAAATTCCACTTTAATCTGGCGGGGGTGAACGAGTTTATCTATCAACTGTTGAGTGGTACTCATGTACAGAGTGGTACTAATTTTATCGACCCCAGACGGAGGAATGATGGGCCGAGTCAAGCCCCTCCTAACCGGGATTCAAACTCTCAACTCTCTGGTTGCGAGCCTGTAACGAAGACACACACACTGACACGTGTACGCACACACACACTGACACGTGTACACGCGCGCGTCACGCCCACAGCAGAGTGTGCTACGTAGCGGTGACGCGTTGGAGCTCTTTGTGACGCGTGTTTGGGCCGCCACGTGCTGTGGGGGTTGGGCGGCCGCGGAGGTCGCGATGGGCCCGGTGACCGAGCCCGTCGTGCTGCCGCGTGATTTGACCCCCCCCCCCACCCCCCCGGGGTGTTTGAAATTGGGACTTTGTTCCGCAATGCACGCGACAAAAAAAATAAACCCAAACACGACCACAGCCGACGATCATGCTCGCGTCTCTGGCCGCGCAAATGCGTCGCCACGGATTCTTGACACATCCCATCAGCCACACACCCGCGCTTCCTTTCTTGGGAGGGCGAAAACTTCGGCGGCACCGATTGGTTCAAGGCGAGCACAATCCTGGAGCGGTTTTGACATTCGGAGTCTCGTCAGGCTCGTTTGAAGCAATGCTGGCGAGCGGCCAGATGTGAGACGTGGGTCCCTGGTTCAAGGCAGAGGTCGCAAACGGGTTTTGATTCCTTACCCGTACCCGGCCGCACCAGGGTCGCAAACGGGTACCCGTACCCGTACCCGTACCCGGCCGTACCCGTACCCTACCCATACCCAGCCGGGTACGGGTAGGGTACGGGTATCGGGTACCTGATTGCGACCTCTGGGATGAAGCCATGTTGCAGGCGCGGGTGGGTTGATTCTAGGAACTTGAATTGTGAGAAGAGACAAGACGTTGGGAAATGAGTGACAAACGGTGACTCAGCAGTGACTTACGGTCTACCCGTACCCGGCCGGATACGGGTACCCGATTGCGACCCTGGTACGGCCGGGTACGGTAGCCGGGTATCGGGTAGGGTACGGGTATCGGGTACCCGGTTGCGACCTCTGGTTCAAGGCAAACCTTTGCATCACACAACGCAGAGCGATCCCTGGCGACGCTGTGGACACAGGGACACGCGCTGTCTAGGGGACTGGATCTCTCGCGCGTCAATGCCGGCGTCACTGATTTCAAGACCGCGTTTGTCTTTGACGGCAGGGGGGGGGGGCCCGTGCGGTGGTCCCTATCTTAGTGGGTTGGGGGGGGGGCCTTGAGGGTGCGAGCCTCGTGTCCCCTGCCTTCCTGTAGAGGTCGCCCTGGGGGAGAGGAGGGAAGGGGGGGCACAGGTCACGGGGAGGCGGTATGGGGGGGGGTGAGTGATCGCGACATTTCTTTGGCCAATTACGTGACCATCCCGTTAGCACCCACAGCGAGGGTTGGGGGGAGGGGGCAAACTAAGCCGTGGAGAGATGCGTGACCCCGTGACCTCACCTATCCCCCTGCCTTGGGGGGTGGCCAGGTGGCTCTTCGCCTGTGATTCTGCGGGGGGCGTTGGGGGGGGGGCAGTGGGGGGCTCCTCGTAGAGCTCCCGGAGCCGGGCTGCGGATGCTGTGCGCAGGGCACTCCACACCTCGAGGGCCCCCACCCTGCCGGAGCCTGCGGAGTTTGGGGGGGGGGCAGAGCAACGCACCCCCCGTCACTCGCGTGGTGTCGCTGTCGGTCTCACGCAGGGCTCGGCAACCTCGGGGCTCTGGTGCCGCGTGCGGCTCTTTAAGGACTGCTTCGTGACGTTTTAAAAAAATGAACACATTCCTCCTGCGGAGGGAGCTGGTAGGAACGTTGGGTTGCTCGGTCAATGGCCAGGGTCAACGGCGGCGTGGTGTATGCCACAAATATACCCGACTGTGAGGGCGGGCACAAGCCGGCGTGAGTAGGTTAAATGTTGAGTTTTATAAGGGCACCACGGGGTGACCAGCCCCTCCCCACCCAGCCCCACCCTCCCCACCCAGCCCCACCCTCCCCTCCCCACCCAGCCACTCCCCACCCTCCCCCTTCCTCCCCACCCAGCCCCTCCCCACCCTCCCCTCTCCACCCAGCCCCACCCCTCCCATTTTTTGATGCACGACGGACGGACGGACACAATAATCCCGTGTGGGCTGGTGGAACCAAGGGGTTCCTACCAGTATAAGGATTACGGTCTCGTATTCACCACGCAGTGCATTGTGACTCTTGAAATATTTACCGAATAAAAAAAAGCCTATTCTTGTTATTTTGGTTAACGACCCCTGGTCTAATGGGCTGGGTGCCCCCCCCTACCCCCCCCCAGTGGTGTGGTGACCCCTCCGCTCACTCACGTGACGATGCCCGCGCCTCCTCCATCACTCGCTCCAGGGCGGCCCCCCTCCCAGCAGCCCCCCACTCCTCCTCTTCCAGCGGGTTCAGGAACTGCCGCGCGGCAGCCGCCCCCAGAATCCTTTGCGCGCGGACAGCCACACGGGTCGTTGCGTGCGTGCAGGTGAGAACGGTCACGTGTGTGGGTGCGTGGGGGGTGGTGAGGAATGTCACGTGCTCGGGTGAGGGGGGTCTCACCAGTGCCGGATTATCTCAGGAGCAAAAGTAGCGACATATGCTACGGGTCCCGCGCTAAATGCGTTCAAGCTATCAATTCCGGCTCAGTGATTTCTGCACTTGCTCTATTACTATAGTACTATACCGCCTTCAACTGTTATGAACGACTGGGTGTTGAAGGTTAGAGATTTGTATTATCTGGCTGTAGGTAGCAAATGAAAACATACAATTACTTTACTGTGCAAGTAAAACATTTGTGTTTTCATAATTACGTTTTTTTTAAAATAAATCAGTGCCTCTTTCTAACATGTGCTACAGGCCCCGCAACTCGCTTTAATCCGGCACGGGCTCTCACCTGTGGAGCTGTTGCACGTGCCAGGCCAGGGACGGGTCCGGGTTCGGCTCCGGTTCCTCGGCTCTGACGGCAGAAGAGTGCAAGACGCGCCGTGTGTGAGTGAGTGTGAGTACATGCTGGTGGTGTGTGAGTGAGTATGTGGTGGTGGTGTGGGGAGCGGTGGTGTAGTGGTTAGCGCTACGCTGCGCTACAAACCTGGCGACCCGGGTTCGATTCCCGCTCACGGCCAACATCAGTGACGATTATCTGAACCGGCCCTGGGCCTCCCCTAGGTCGACTCAGTCTCAAATGAGTACCTGGTGCGGTGTGTAAACATCGCCACTAGGGAGACAAAGGTGGCCGGGCGTGGTGCTGGCCACACACCTCCCGGCCTTCATAGCTGCTCGCTAACAGCACATGCCCCTACAGTCTGTTAAGGCTGCAAGGGGGGATCTTTGTTTGTTTTAGTGGTGTGGGAAGGGGGGATTTATGGTCGATGACAGCCGCTCAATTGCCCCGTCCAGCGATGTCCTCAGGGCTGGCTCTGAGGACATCGATCCCAGCAGCCCGGCGAGGGTTGCGCCAGGCGTCTCGTTGCCCTAAGAAGTCCAAAACCCCTGGGCCGCGTTGCTCCACCTTAGTCTTGGAGTGACTCGAGGAAGGACTTTGCGGTCTCCTGCTTCTGATCGGCGGGCGAGGTCGTCGTCGGCAAAGTTGTTCGCTTTCTGGAGATCAACAGCGGGTCGATTATTGTGAAAATTCGGTCACAGTTCCTATGACCACTGTTTCATTGCTTTGATGGCTTTATTTTGGTGATTTTCGATCAGTTTTTTGGTTTGGTCATGTTTGTTTGTTGTAGTACAGAGTTAGACTGATGGCCTTAATCTAAGTTGTCTTGTGGTTGTTGTTGTTGTTTGACTTGCATCCCACTGGGATTTTTGCACATTTTTGTGTACGGTGCCTTTTCTGCAATATTTTACTGTCTTTTCTTGGATTTTCTGTTTGCACTCAGTCACATATTCACTTTAAGATGTTTCTTGTTCATGTTTTTGTTTTTTGTTTGTTGCGGTTGCACCCGATTCAAGAGCCGAATGGCTCACAGGGCTCTACCTAATCAATGAACTTGAACTTGAAGAAGCGGCGGCGGCGGGGGGGAGGGGGCTTTTTTCTGAAGCCTCTTGCGATGTCGGCCTTGGCAGCTGCCGTCTTGATAATAATAATAGTTCAATTTGTAACGCGCGCAATTTTGCAGACGTAGTGGCCGCAACTCAGAGGCGCGGAGCCAAGCTCAGAGTCGCTCAAAAGCATGATTGTAGAGGTGAGTTTTTAAGTGTCTCTTGAAGGAGGCGATTGAGGTGATGCTGCGAATGTGCAGAGGGATATCGTTCCAGACTGTTGGGGCTGCCACCGAGAAGCGGCGCGTAGACATGACCATCCTGGATCTTGGTATCGAGAGGAGGTCGTGAGTCGCGCTGCGCAGGCATCTGCCGTGTGCGGAGCTGCAAGTTGTCAATAATGAAGAAAGGTACGGCGGGCAGGCGGATATGAAGGCATTGTGGCAGAGGCAGGCGGGTCTTGTATGTGACCCTACTGGCGATGGCGAGCCAGTTGAGAGCACGGAGACAAGCTAGTGAGTCGAGGCGGGGATGAGTGTGGGCAATGACGACGCGTGCTAGGTTATTTTGTAGTCTTTGAAGTTTCTTTAGGTTGCCAGCGGAGGTCCGGACTAGGACGGAGTTACAATAGTCAAGGCGAGACCCAACTATGCAACATGCCAAAGTGTTGGCAATTTCAGTAGAGATGAGAGGACGTATGTGTCTAAGAGCCTTCAGGTGAAAGTTACATGAGCTGATGATATGGTTGGTTTGACGGTCGAAGGATAAAGTTGAATCTAGGCCCGAGCAAAAGCGACGGTCTTTGGCCGCGCGTGGGGTCATCGAGCCGACGGATCACTCCAGCCGGCCGCGAGTGACCCGTGGCACGGAGCGGATGCGAAAAGGCAACGCGTGAGGGTCAGCCGAGACCCCTCGACGATTCGCTTCGGTGACGACCCCACCGCCGTGTCCTCGGTGAGGAGTGCGGCGAGGCGAACGAGATCCAGTGGGCACGCGCATCACGTGCGAGGTCTGTGCATACGTGTGTACGAGATGTGTACACACGTGTACACACGTGTGCGAGGTCTGTGCACACTTGTGTACGAGACGTGTACACCGTGTACACACGTGCGAGATCTGTGCACACGTGTGTACGAGATGTGTACACAGTGTACACACGTGTGCGAGATCTGTGTACACGTGTGTACGAGATGTGTACACCGTGTACACACGTGTGCGAGATCTGTGCACACGTGTGTACGAGATGTGTACACCGTGTACACACGTGTGCGAGATCTGTGCACACGTGTGTACGAGATGTGTACACCGTGTACACACGTGTGCGAGATCTGTGTACACGTGTGTACGAGATGTGTACACCGTGTACACACGTGTGCGAGATCTGTGCACACGTGTGTACGAGATGTGTACACACGTGTGCGAGATCTGTGTACACGTGTGTACGATCTGTGTACACACGTGTGCGACATCTGTGTACACGTGTGTACGAGATGTGTACACCGTGTACACACGTGTGCGAGATCTGTGCACACGTGTGTACGAGATGTGTACACCGTGTACACACGTGTGCGAGATCTGTGCACACGTGTGTACGAGATGTGTACACCGTGTACACACGTGTGCGAGATCTGTGTACACGTGTGTACGAGATGTGTACACCGTGTACACACGTGTGCGAGATCTGTGCACACGTGTGTACGAGATGTGTACACACGTGTGCGAGATCTGTGTACACGTGTGTACGATCTGTGTACACACGTGTGCGAGATCTGTGCACACGTGTGTACGATCTGTGTACACACGTGTGCGAGATTTGTGTACACGTGTGTACGAGATGTGTACACACGTGTGCGAGATCTGTGCACACGTGTGTACGAGATGTGTACACACGTGTGCGAGATCTGTGCACACGTGTGTACGAGATGTGTACACCATGTATACACGTGTGCGAGATCTGTGTACACGTGTGTACGAGATGTGTACAACGTGTATACACGTGTGTACGAGATGTGTACACCGTGTATACACGTGTGTACGAGATGTGTACACCATGTATACACGTGTATACGAGATGTGTGTGTACACCGTGTACACACGTGTGCGAGGTCTGTGTACACGTGTGTACACCGTGTACACACGTGCGAGGTCTGTGCACACGTGTGTATGAGATGTGTACACCGTGTACACACGTGCGAAGTCTGTGCACACGTGTACGAGATGTGTACACCGTGTACACACGTGCGCGAGATCTGTGTACACTTGTGTACGATCTGTGTACACACGTGCGAGATCTGCGCACACGTGTGTACGAGATGTGTACACCGTGTACACACGTGTGCGAGATCTGTGCACACGTGTGTACGAGATGTGTACACCGTGTACACACGTGTGCGAGATCTGTGCACACGTGTGTACGAGATGTGTACACACGTGTGAGATCTGTGTACACGTGTGTACGATCTGCGTACGATCTGTGTGCACACGCGTGTACGATCTCTGTTGGTGGGACGCTGTCGAAACGTGGTCCAGAGATGTATCGGATGAATCACTGCCGCTGTTAGTCTGTGGGTTAACGTTCGCGACATTCTTCAAGAACTTTGCAGAAGATGCTTCCAGTTTCATCCAATTGTTCAAATTGCGTCTGTAACTTAGTTGGCTATATTGCGTAAGGTGCGGTACGGTAGTCGTGAATCTGTCAGAGCAAGCGGCAGTCTCAGCGATCGTGAGGTTTAGAGTTCAAAGCCTGCTTGGGGAGGTGGGGGGGGGGAAGGTTGACTCAGCCCATCATCCCTTTCTCGCAGTCCACAAAATAGCTACCACTTTGGAGGAGTCAAGAGTGGCTGTTCTATGTTTAAGACTCGCCCCGTCGCCGTCACAGGAATGTGGAATTTGCACTACTGGCTCTGCTGGATTGTAAACAGTAGATGGCTCATCTGAGCTGCAGACCACGATGTTTGATTGTACGAATTATCGTGATATCGCGAGATTCTGAGCGTACACGTGTGAGAGTGTGCACGTGTGAGTGTGGACGTGTGAGTGTGCACGCGTGTGAGTGTGCACGTGTGAGTGTGTACGTGTGTGAGTGTGCACGTGTAAGTTTGTACACGTGTGAGTGTGTACGTGTGTGAGTGTGCACGTGTGAGTTTGTACGTGTGTGAGTGTGCACGTGTGAGTTTGTACGTGTGTGAGTGTACACGTGTGAGTGTGTACGTGTGTGAGTGTACGTGTGTGAGTGTGTACGTGTGTGAGTGTGCACGTGTGTGTGAGTATGCACGTGTGAGTATGTACGCGTGAGTGTGTACACACGTGCTTGTGTTGTGTGTGTGCCTCACCCACCGCTGCCCTGGTCTCTCCACACTCTCATCTGTCGCCATCGCTGTATACTTGACCCCCTCTGCACACCGAGACCCCCTTCTGCACACCGGGGACCCCCTCTGCACACCGGGGACCCCCTTCTGCACACCGGGACCCCCTCTGCACACCGGGGACCCCTCCTCTGCACACCGGGACCCCCTCCGCACACCGGGACCCCCTTCTGTACACTGGGACCCCCTTCTATACACTGGGACCCCCTTCTATACACTGGGACCCCCTTCTGCACACCGGGGACCCCCTTCTGCACTCCGGGGACCCCCTCTGCACACCGGGGACCCCTTTCTGCAAACCGGGGACCCCCTTCTGCACTCCGGGAACCCCTTCTGTACACTGGGACCCCCTTCTGCACACCGGGACCCCCTTCTGCACACCGGGACCCCCTTCTGCACACTGCCTCTTACACCACGGGGACCCACGCACACGCGGGTCTCCGCCTCTCCCGGAAAATCAATAACGAGAGGAGGAGGAGTAGGAGGATGCGGTGACTGCCTCTCATCATTAAAAGCCAAGACGAAGATTCCCCGTATAGCCTTTAGCAGGATGTGGGGACAAGTGCTGCTAGGGAACGAGGAAGGTTGCCACGGCACACCAGGGGATGGTTGGCGAGCACCACGCCCGGCCACCTACAGTGGCGATGTTTACAAATTGCATCAAGTACTTATTTGAGGCTGAGTCGACCTAGGGGAGGCCCAGGACCGGTTCAGATAATCGTCACCGGTGTTGGCCGTGAGCGGGAATCGAACCCTGGTCACCGGGTTCGTAGCGCAGCGCGCTAACCGCTGCACACACACGCACATCCACACACAAAGATCCCAAATAAAGCCATCACAGACTGTTGGGGGCAATTGTGTTTTGTTTGTTAGCGAGCACCTATTAAGAGCAGCACGGCGCACTTACACACACACACACGCGTCACGTCCACGCGCGTCTTGTCGCGAGCGTTATTCACATAGAGACATTTTGTGTGTTTGCGAGGTTATATTCACTCGTGCGTTACTACGTCGCGTGTATTTCGTGCAAGTTCAAGTGGCGTTTGCGTGCAGCCATCGACGCAGCGTGGGGGACTCCACGAAAAACACAAACACACACACAGACACACACACACATACAGAACCCCCCCCCCCCCAAACAGACTAGAGCACGAATCGTCGGCGCGCCACGAAACGTCGACGCCGTCCTTCAACGCCACGAGGTGCCGACACGAAACGTCGGGCTAGAAAGGGAAGAAAAAAAGTGACCCGGTGGAACGAACGTGGACTCGACTGATCGCGCGTTTGCGAGCTCCCCTCCCAGCGAGAAGCCACTTCACACTGACCCCCTCCCCCACCTCCTCGGGGGGCCACGGTGACCTTTGGGTGCCGGGGTCATCAGGGGGGGGGGGGGTCTGGGTTAGAGTCGGGTTAGGGTTGGATGGAGGTTGGGAATTCGGGGTCGTGGATAGGGTTAGTAGGGTCAGATGGTATTCAGGTCTCTAGGCTCGGCATGGAGCTCGAAATCATGATTTAGGCTCGGGGATAGGGTCAGGCACAGGGGTGGAGTTGAGGAATGATTTAGGGTCAGAGTTGGGGTTTTGATTCGGATTCGCGTTTAGGGCGAGGATTAGGGTTTGGGTTCAGTTGGGATTAGGGTTCAGGTTAGGATTGGGGTTAGAGTAAGGCTTCGGGTTTGGGTTAAGTCTCAAGCTAGGGTTTGGGTTAAGGTTGGGATTAAGCCTAAGGTTTGGGTTGCGGTTCGGGTTATAACTGGGATTCGGGTTAGGGGTGGGTTGGCCTCAGTGATTATTCACGCTTGGGATGAGGATTTTGATTGGAGTTGGGGGGGCAGGGCCAAGTTGGACAGACGCTGACGTCACCACCAGGACACGCGCTATCGATCCGGGCTCCTCCTTCATCCGGGGTGAGACAAGGCGAGGAGAACGAATTGGAGGGGAAAGGGGAATCTGGTACTCGAGTGGCGCCTTTAATAGGCAATCGCAGACACAAGCACGTGACGGCACTACCCTCCCACCACCTGCCTGGGGTCTCACGCGACCAGGTGGTGTGCGGGCGAGTAAACCTGTGTGCAGTTGAGAATGTGAACAGGTGAGATCGCGTGTCACAGTGAGGAAGCATGTCCAGGTGAGGCAGCATGTCCAGGTGAGGCAGTGTGTCCAGGTGAGGCAGTGTGTCCAGGTGAGGAAGCATGTCCAGGTGAAGAAGCATGTCCAGGTGAGGCAGTGTGTCCAGGTGAGGCAGCATGTCCAGTTGAGGTTACTTGTCCAGGTGAGGCAGCGTGTCCAGGTGAGGAAGCATGTCCAGGTGAGATCGCTTGTCTAGTTGAGGTTACTTGTCCAGGTGAGGCATTGTGTTCAGGTGAGGCTGCGTGTCCAGGTGAGATCGCTTGTCCAGGTTCGGCAGCGTGTTCAGGTTCGGCAGCATGTCCAGGTGAGGCAGTGTGTCCAGGTGAGGCTGCGTGTCCAGGTGATATCGCGTGTCCAGGTGAGGTCGCTTCTCTACAGGTGCGTGTCCTCCTCCTCGTGTTGCTCTCTCTTGCTGGGAGCCCCGGGGTGTGAGGTGTGCTGGGGGGCCCAAGGGGGTCTGGCCACCCCCGGAGGGACCCCTCGTGGAGGGGGCAGCCCCGGCCCGGGCCCCCCATTCCAGCTGTGGGGCCGCTCCTGCATCTCGGGACGGGGGTCCATCGCCGGGTTGTCGTGGCAACCAAAGCGCGGTCCCTGCATCTCCTCGGTGAGCCGCTGCCATGGAAACGTGGGGCAGAGACAGCAACCACAACAACCGCATTCACCGCTGAGTGATGGTGACTGTCTCCACAGTGCTTGTGCCAGGCTAGGTGCACTTTGAGCCGATCGCTCCTTAGATGACATGTCAGCCAGCCACTCGACCTTTGAGGCTCCACAGCCCGGACAGGGTCAGGCCGCCCCCACCTCTCCCCGAGGGAATACAAGCAGACCTCGCTTAGCGAGCAAGATGTGTTCCTGAAGAAATGAGCGCTTATCGAATCAGCGCTAAAGGGGGCCATTACACCATTGTATATATGGGGATGCGCTCCTGACAGCGTTATATATCTTTTTTTATTCATATGAGCACTATATGAGGGCTTTATCGGCAAAAGTGTGAATACTAATACAGATGGTAAACATTTCATGAATTAAAAAAATAACGTTAATAACGTCACTGAGTATGATGTACTGTATTGACAAGTGCATTCTACTGTACTCCTACAAGGTAGTGGCGGGGGAGCTGCTACGCTGCCAATCCGGGATCCTTCTCAGAGTGGAGCTCCGTGAACTCCGTGATGCCCTCAGTCTACATTTCTGTGGCGAGGTTTCATTTTGCTTGATATTTCATCGCTCCATCTCCTGCGATGGACGACAGCTCTCCAGACGCGTCACGGTGGCTAGGAGATGTTAACTACCTCGCCTGGTGTACAGGAGGTCGTAGGTTCGATCTCATCCATGACACATGCTGCTGTATATTTGGAGTTTGCGTGTCTCTCTCCATCATCATCATCACGGTGGCTAGGAGATGTTAACTACCTCGCCTGGTATACACGAGGTCGTGGGTTCGACCCCATCCCTGACATCTGCTGCTGTATATTTGGAGTTTGCGTGTCTCTCTATCATCATCATCATCATCACGGTGGCTAGGAGATGTTTACTACCTCGCCTGGTATGCACGAGGTCGTGGGTTCGATCTCATCCCTGACACCTGCTGCTGTATATTTGGAGTTTGCGTGTCTCTCTATCATCATCATCATCATCATCACGGTGGCTAGGAGATGTTAACTACCTCGCCTGGTATACAGGAGGTCGTGGGTTCGATCTCATCCCTGACGCCTGCTGCTGCTGTATATTTGGAGTTTGCGTGTCTCTCTCCCCGTGGTCGCGTGGATTTTTTGTTCTCCGGGTCCTCCGGTTTTTTTAAATCCTTTATATTAAGTTCACTTGCTTGCGCGCTTACGACCGTGCAAATCTTTCGGTCGTTTTTAATCCACTTCCCGTGATCCAATCGAGCTGACATTTTGCACACAGACTCGTTGTGTGTGACAATTTATTTTTGTGAAAAAGAAAAAAATCCAAAATTTTTCACTTTTTAGGAAAAAAATTTTTTCATATTTAATTTAAAATACCAATGTGATAAAAATGAAACTCTTACTCAAGAAAAACAGAAATGAATAATAAAATAAAACCGATGCCACGCATATAAAGGATTTATAGTGAAAAACTTTGTTTTTACGGGTTAATTTTTTCCTCCACATTTAGAAACTTGCGTTGAGATTATCTCGATGACGTTGCTGCTATGAATGGCGGGAACACTTTGTCGAGTTATCGTTAGTGGCCAGGTCGCTCCTGAAAAATAAGCTAATACCTCAGTGGGCTTTTCCTGGAAGGATGGGAATGGCTTCGTTTTGTATTTGTTTGTGTTTTGATGATTTGTTTACCTTTCTTGTACGTTGCACTACTATCGTGTTATTGTACCGTTTGTTGTTGTAGCGTCATCATCAGGTGTGAAAACCACAGCAAGAAAATTTTTTAAAAAAAATTATTGCTGTGGTTTTCACACCTGGTGATGATTGCTCGTGTTGCAGTCGAAACGTCGTGAGAATTTTATTGTTTGATATTTTTATTATTTTATTGTTTCCCTTCTACGTGACTTTACTGAAAGAACCAAGAATATAAATCCCTGCAGTCACGAAAGCTTTAAATCAAAATAGAACCCACTCCTAAACGGCCACCCCTCCAAAGAGGCCAATTTGTTCACTTACCAACCGTTCCCCTGCGAACGACCGGCTGTTGTGGCTACGGTAAATATTAATTCATGCATTGATTAACCACGTTTTTATTTTAATGTTGTGTGCTTATAATGTTGTTAGTATCTTTATCTATTAATATCCATTGCTGAAATATGATAAGCGTACGTTTTTTGGGTGAAAAAAGGTGTAACTTTCGATGCTATCGGAACGAATGAAGCCTTTAACGTGCATTCCCTATACTCGCTTAACGACCAATCATCCCCTATACTCGCTTAACGACCAAATCATCCCCTATACTCGCTTAACGACCAAATCATCCCCTATACTCGCTTAACGACCAAATCATCCCCTATACTCGCTTGACGACCAAATCATTCCCTATACTCGCTTCACGACCAAATCATCCCCTATACTCGCTTAACGACCAAATCATCCCCTATACTCGCTTAACGACCAAATCATCCCCTATACTCGCTTAACGACCAAATCATCCCCTCTACTCGCTTAACGACCAACTCATCCCCTATACTCGCTTAACGACCCAATCGCTTAACGGCCGGTTTCGTGGAACCAATCGCCATCGTTACGAGGAGGGGGATTCCCTGTACTGGCGTTAATGAGTGAATGACTGACCGTGTGAATGAGTTCATTTCATTTGTTACAAGGACGGTCGCGTTTCACCACAGTTTCGCGGCTCTTTTACTGTGTTGTTGCTGCTTGAGCACTGCAGCAGTAGCAGCAGCAGCAGTAACAACAGAGAGAACACGAGACGGAGTCAAGTACGGAACAGTAGGGGGTACAGCTGGTGGGTGCATCTGACGGGCATCTCAGTCAGCCAACCCATGGCACCTGCTGGGTCTGCCCCGAGACCTCCTGCTGCCAGCAGCGAGCGTTCGGCACTTCACGTGATGGCCTCAAAGTGCACCTGGCCTGGCACAGGCGCCGTGGTGACGTTACCGTCACTTAGGGGTGAATGACGGCTGTGTTGGTGCAGCAGAGGGCCTTCAGGGATGTTGCACAACCAGCAGACGATGGAACGAGGTTATTTACCGGTCGTAAACAAGACACCCGAATTACACCCCCCCCCTCCCCCTGAGTGCAAATACTAGTCGTAATTCTAGATTTGAAGCTTTCGTGACTGCAAGGATTCATACTCTTAGGTTTTTTCGGTAAAATCACCTAGGTAAAAAATAAATAATAAAAATAATAGAAATAAACGTTTATTAATTAAATTATTTTCCCCTATTATTTCTATTATTATTTATTATTACTTATTTTTACCTACGTGACTTTACCGAAAAAACCTATGAGTACTAGTAGTAATTTACATTTATTTGTGAGGAGCATTCCACTAATGTCTCAAGGCGCTTTGTAAGAATAAGGATATAGGCCAAGATAAAACAGAAACTAAAAAGAATAAACTGACTTAAGAAGATGTTTAACGCCGTATAGGCTTTCTTGACCAATGTTATCCGTAATAGAGTTTTTTTGGGTAATATCCCGAGATGATCCAAGCCACGAAAACCTCTATTGTGGTTAAGAAGATGTGGTATTAAGACGAGACTTGATGAAAGTATCTGCACTATCGCATGATCGAATTTCCAAGGGTAGGGAATCCCGCGACCGTGACGCAGACGCAGCGAGTGGCCGCTCACCTCCAGGAACGGAGCCGGGATCGAGGCACGCACGGGAGAATAAAGGTCGGTACCAGGTGCAAGTGTTTGGTGTTTTAAGTCTTAATAGGGATAATGGGGAGAATCAAACTGGAGATGAGCGGGTAACGGTTTGTCATGAACTCGGAGCAGCAATGCGTCAATACTTTTTTTTACCAAAACAAAGTTTTAACAAATGGACTGTTATAATAATTGTTTTTTTTACCCTTTTATTTGGCCTTTTGGCGTCATCTGGTCCAACCCATGTGAGACTAGGCTCTAAGGAAAGCTGTCTCGGGTGTGGACCAATCAACTTCAAGGACACTGCATACATTATCAGAGTTATGTTTTTTGTTTGCATTATGACTGCAGGTATTGTGGTCTATGCAAACATGACTCCTTGTAAAAAAGGTGTCAGTTTTGTTGCCAGATAGAAGGGTTAAAAACCAATTATCATTTTTTACTGGCAAATGAGGTTCTAATGGTGTAAATGGAATGTTTTAATAGGAATAAGGAGGCACTTCTGAAACTACGAACGGAGTTGGAGAAACTAAGTGGTCCTTTCGGTAAATGGCGGATTTAAGCCCAATGATGGTCTCGCCACATATCCAGATTCGAGTTGACCTGCAGGTTGCAATGATGGGTTACAGAATTGGCCTCAAAGCCAAAACGGAGAGCGTAGTGGTTCAGTGTAACGAGATGTTTCAAGGCATGTTCAGCAGCAAGGCAGTAGATGGTGCCGCTCACATAAATGAGCGTGTGAGTTTGTGAAAATGGAGTGACCGCGAGTGAATGAGTCGCGTACCCCGCTCTTCGCTCTCCGCGCGCTCCTCCTCCACGCGGCGCACGCGGCCGCCAGTGCCAGGAGCAGTGCACACGCCACGCCCAGTGCCCCCAGCAGGGCGGGGAGGGGGGGCCCCCGTGGATCCTCTCCACCTGCAGGGGCCCCCGCCTCCTCATCCTCCGCAGGGTCCCTCGTGCCCCCAGTTTCCTTCCCCGCACGCCCCCCAGCCTCCTTCCTGCCAGGGGCCCCAATCCCGTCCTCCCTGTTGAGGCCCCCAGTCTGCACCTCTCCGTGAGGGCCACTAGGGTCCCCGGTCTCTCTCACAGGGCCTCCAGTCTCTTCCTCCTCCACAGGGCTCCCAGTCTCCTCCCTCTCAGTCTCTTCTTCCTCCTCCACAGGCCCCCCAGTCTCGTCCTCCCTCCCAGGGCCCACAGCCTCCTCCCTCTCAGTCTCCTCTTCCTCCCTCCCAGGAACCCCATTCTCCTCCCTCCCAGAAACCCCATTCTCCTCCCTCCCAGAAACCCCATTCTCCTCCCTCCCAGGAACCCCATTCTCCTCCCTCCCTGGAACCCCATTCTCCTCCCTCCCAGAAACCCCATTCTCCTCCCTCCCTGGAACCCCATTCTCCTCCCTCCCAGGAACCCTATTCTCCTCCCTCCCTGGGCCCTCGGTCTCCTCTCTCCCAGGGCCTCCAGTCACTTCCTCCTCTACAGGGCCCCCAGCCTCCTCCTCCCTCCCAGAGTCCTCGGTCCCCTCCCTCCCTGGGCCCTCGGTCCCCTCCCTCCCTGGGCCTCCTGCCTCCTCCCTCTCAGTCTCCTCCTCCCTCCTTGGGTCCACAGTCTCTCCCACTGGGCCCCCATTCTCTTCACTCCCAGAGTCCTCGGTCTCCTCCCTCCCTGGGCCCCCAGCCTCCTCCCTCTCAGTCTCCTCCTCCCTCCTTGGGTCCACAGTGTCTCCCGCTGGGCCCCTATTCTCTTCGCTCCCAGGGCCCTCAGCGTCCTCCCTCTCAGAAACCCCAGTCTCCTCCTCCCCCCCTGGGCCCCCAGTCTCTCCCGCTGGGTCCACAGTTTCCTCCCTCTCAGGGCCCTCGGTCCCCTCCCCAGCCTCCTCCTCCCTTACGAGGTCCCCAGTCTCTTCCCTCCCTGAGCCGCCAGCCTCCTCCCTCCCTGGACCCCCAGTGTCTCTCACTGGGTCCAAAGTCTCCTCCATCTCAGGGCTCTCGGTCCCGTCCCTCCCAGGACCCTCAGCCTCTCCCACTGGGCCCCCAGTCTCCTCCATCTCAGGGCTCTCGGTGCCCTCACTCCCAGGAACCGCAGCCTCCTCCTCCCTCCCGATTTCTTCAACCCCACGTTCTCCAACCTCCTGAACACACAGAGGAGACAACAATATTGGCCACTAGGTGGCGGCGATGTCACCAGAGCGCTTGCGCAAGACGAGGTGCTCTTTTGAGGTCACGTAAAGTGTTGTAGGCTCGCTGATCGGAGGTCACGGCACAGACGCAGGTGCCATGAGCTGAATGAGATGACTGGCAGATGCACCACCTGTGCCCCCTTCTGTGCCAACTTATTGCGTTTTAGCCGCGAAACGCTCCGCTCGTTATTGTGAGCGTCGCTCCTGCGCCCTCCGTTGTTGTTGGAGGGCGACTGCCTCCACCTGCCCAGTAGCAGCGTCCTTCACGAGCCTCCTTCCTTCACGAGCCTCCTTCACAGAGGTCGATCTTGACACCGCTGGTACGAGCCTTCGGCAAGCCAACTCAGGTCCACATCCTCGCTTACCGCATAAGTCCATCTCTTCTCTAGCCCGTTGCCGTGCCCGTTTAGCTTCCTCTATCTGGCCAAACAGAAACTGCATCGCCAGCTTTTTAAATCCTTTATATTAAGTTCGCTTGCTTGCGTGCTTGCGTGCTTGCTTGCTTACGACCGTGCAAACCTTTCGGTCGTTTTTTAACCCAATTCCCGTGATCCAATCGAGCTGACATTTTGCACACAGACTCGTTGTGCGAGACAATTAATGTTCGTGAAATTTTTTTCCAAAATTTTAGACTGTTTAGGGAAAACAAATTAAATATTTAATTACCAATTGTTTAATACTGCAGACAATCATCTGACCCATAGGTGGCAGCCATCTTAAGCCAGAGGACGAGAGGACTCTAGCCGCCACGCATATAAAGGATTTAGAGTGAAAAACTTTGTTTTTACGGGTTATACTTATTTAAGGACATGTTTAACCAGTCCAGCCTGGTTAAACACGTCTTCTTTCTCACGGCTGATGTAGACAACTACCAGTTCCGGATTAAGCTAGTGCGGGCCTGTAGCATATGTCATAAAGGGGCCCTAATTTTTTTTTTTAAACACGTAAATATTAAAACACACATTTGTAACTTGCACAGTAAAGGAATTGCATTTTTTATTCGCTATACATCTAGATAGAACGACAAATCGCTAACCTTAAACACTGAGTCATTCATAAAAGTTTAAGGCAGTACTATAGTAATAGAGCGAGTGCAGAATCACTGAACCGGAATTGACAGCTTGAAAGCATTTAGCGCGGCGCCCTTGAAAGTGCGGGGCCCGTAGAATATGTAGCTACTTTTGCTACGAGGATAATCCGGCACTGACGACAACAATTGCACATTCAGGTGGTCAAGGCCAGATAACCGCGTCAGAAGCAGCGGCGTTGTATCGCTGTGATGTCTCCTTCGTATTTGTGGATGGGCATTGCGTTGCTATACGTTGCATATGGTCTGTTCTGGATGACCACAGTCGCACACCGAAGAGTTTTTCATTTTTAATGTATGCATCAGGTATTCGAATCTGCCATGGTTTGTGGTTTAGGCTGGACTATGATTTTCCTGGAAGATCAAACTCAGGGATTTTCCATGATGGATCGTAGGCAGGCCAGCCTGAATGTTTTGAACCGGTGCAGATGTTCCATTCGATGGCTCCACGCTTCGCAAGCATAAAGAAGGGAGGGCATAACAGTGGCCGAAAAGACCAGGAGGTTTGTATGGAGCGACAGACCAAATATCTCCCACGCAGCAGCGCTACGCATCAAATGAAAAAGAATTGCCACTCCAGTGAGCCTGGAGCGAGACCACGGCTACCAAGACGGAGCTGGTCACGAGCACACTGCCCCGGGGGGGGGGGGGGGGGGGGCACGGAAACTCCTCAATTCTCTCCACAACTGCCCCATCACGCACGGGGAGTCGAAAGGGCTGGGGCATTCAACGACGCACACATACCGAGGCAGGTACCTCGACGTGAACACGGAGGTTGACGCACGAACAACGTGCATCGGAGTTGTGGAGTCAGGAAAGTGGGTGAGGGCTACGGGAGAGGGGTTAGGGGGGGGGGGGTTCAGGAGCAGCATGGGTCTGCCCTCTCCTCCCCTCCATCTGTCGAGGTAAATCCCCGCGTGTAATCTGCGCTAAAGCCGGTAACGGGAGTTGGCCTCCCTCTACACGGGTCTCTCCCATTTCCTCCCTCGGTTCATCTCGCATCTCGCATACCTCTATTATCTCCCCACTCTTCTCTATCCTACCCCCCCCCCCCCCCCGCTGACCCCCCCCCGGACCCCCCCGAATGAAATCGTCGTGGCTGAGACCAGACTCACAAATCCACGGCTCACAATGGCCGCTCGCCACCCCCACCTCTCTCCCCGTGTGGATCAAGAAGAGAAGAACAAAGGGCATTCATAGTCCAGCCCTGCCCCCAACCATCAACATCACCACCATCACCCACCATCATCGCCCACTCACCACCACTTCGCATTCCATCACCCACATCGCCACCACGATCACTACCACCCCCATACCACCGTCACCACAATCAGATACTACCTTCATCACCAACTACCACCACTATTATCAGCATTATCAGTACCACCACCATCAACAACAACAACCGCCGTTCACCACTAAGTGGCGGTGACGTCACCACGGCATTTGTGCCAAGCTAGGTGCACTTTCATCACTACCCCACCGTTACTACCCCGATCATCATCACTACCCCACCATCACTACCCCACCATCACTACCCCTATCATCATCACTACCCCACCATCACTACCCCACCATTACTATACCCCTATCATCATTACCCCACCATCACTATACCCCTATCATCATCATCATCACTACCCCACCATCACTACCCCACCATCACTATACCCCTATCATCATCATCACTACCCCACCATCACTATACCACTATCATCATCATCATCACTACCCCACCATCACTATACCCCTATCATCATTACCCCACCATCACTATACCCCTATCATCACTATCACTACCCCTATCATCATCACTACCCCACGTCACTACCCCGATCATCATCATCACTACCCCATCATCACTACCCCACCATCACTATACCCCTATCATTATCATCATCACTACCCCACTATCACTACCCCACCATCACTATACCCCTATTATCATCACCATCACTACCCCACCTTCACTATACCCCTATCATCATCATCACTACCCCACCATCACTACCCCACCATTACTATACCCCTATCATCATCATCATCACTACCCCACCATCACTACCCCTATCATCATCACTACCCCACCATCACTATACCCCTATCATCATCATCACTACCCCACCATCACTATACCCCTATCATCATCATCATCACTACCCCACCATCACTGCCCCTATCATCATCATCACTACCCACCATCACTACCCCACCATCATTATACCCCTATCATCATCATCACTACCCCACCATCACTACCCCTATCATCATCATCACTACCCCACCATCACTACCCCACCATTACTATACCCCGATCATCATCATCATCACTACCCCACCATCACTACCCCACCATCACTACCCCACCATCACTTTACCCCTATCATCATCATCACTACCCCACCATCACTATACCCCTATCATCATCATCACTACCCACCATCACTACCCCACCATTACTATACCCCGATTATCATCATCACTACCCCACCATCACTACCCCACCATCACTATACCCCTATCATCACCATCACTACCCCTATCACCATCACTACCCCACCATCACTATACCCCTATCATCATCACCATCACTACCCCTATCATCATCATCATCACTACCCCATCATCACTACCCCACCATCACTACCCCACCATTACTATACCCCGATCATCATCATCACCACTACCCCATCATCACTATACCCCTATCATCACCATCACTACCCCTATCACCATCACTACCCCTATCACCATCACTATACCCCCTATCATCACCATCACTGCCGCTATGAGCACCACGATCACCACCACCCCTCCCCGCCCACACCTGCCGGGACGGGGTCCCCCCGGAGTCACGTGGGGTCACAGGTGCGCTAGTGGGCGTGGTCTGTGCAGGCCCTGCCGTCTCCTGATTGGTCGGAGCCTGGGCGCCGGGCGTGACGTCACTCGGTTCAAAATCCACCGCCTCATCACCTGCACACATCACCATGCCCATCGTTACCATCACCATCGTTACCATCACCACCACAATGGTTACCATCACCATCGTTACTATCACCACCACCATCGTTACCATCACCACCACCATCGTTACCATCACCAACATCATTACCACCATCACCAACATCATTACCACCATCACCAACATCATTAAGCCCCATCAACGCCAACAATACCACCACCACCAATATCATTACCACCAATATCACCACCACCACGAACATCATCACCATCGTTACTGTCACCAACATCATTACCACCATCACCAACATCATTACCACCATCACCAACATTACCACCAACATCACCAACATTACCACCAACATCACCAACATTACCACCATCATTACCACCAACATCACCAACAATACCACCATCATTACCACCATCATTACCACCAACATCACCACGAACATCACCAACATCACCACCATTAGCACCGACATCAATAAATCCCCATTACAATGACCACTAACCGCCACGAACCCCATTGCCCACCACAACCACCACCACCACCACTAACCCCCACACACCACAACTACCACCACTGCCACTAACCCCCACACACAACCACCACCGCCACTAACCCCCACACACCACCACCACCACCGCCACCACCCCCACTAACCCACACACACCACACTGCGTGGCCGAGTTCCCCCTCACCTGTTGGCTGCGGAGTCTGAAAGTTCGTGGTGGCCGACAGAGGGGGGGTCCCAGTGGTGGCCCCGGTGAGAGGCCCTAGAGGGGGGGGTCCCGTTGGGGTGCCGGGCTCAGGGGTCCACGCTGGGACCCCGGGCGTCGGGGTCCTGGCTTCGCGAACCCCTGGCTCATCTGCTCCAGTGCTCGGCTGCCCTCCGTCGCCACCAACATCGCCAACAACATCACCACCATCACCAACAGCGGCTCGAGCAGCGAGCAGCAGCAGTAGCAGCAGAGTCGCGTACGGTGCAGTGGAGCGCAGAGACATCACCACCATCATCATCACCATCATCACCGCGAGGTAGTGATGGCGGCTGACATCGCTCCTGACAACAATTCACAACTTGGAGCCCTTTGGGGGGGGGGGGTGAGCGATGGAGGTGGGGGGGGATGGTGGATGGATGGTGGAGGATGAGGGGTGATGTTGGATGGAACGTGAGGGGTCTGGGTGAGGGATGGTGGAGGGTGATGGTGGATGAGGGGATGATGGTGGATGGAGGGCGAGGGGTGGTGGTGATGGATCCCGTGTAAACCTCCCGAGCGTTGCCCCGTCCCGTTAGAAGAACTCCCGTGAGGGGGGAGAGGCGGGGAGAGCGGGGAGAGCGATAAAAGAGAGTGGGAGAGAGAGGCAAGAGTGGGGGCGGGGGGGTTCATCCATCCTCAGTGCGCGCCCAGCGGTTGCCATGGAGACGGGATGAGAGGGGAGAGCGGGAGAGATGGGAGGAGGGGAGAGATGGGAGAGTGGGAGAGATGGGAGAGTGGGAGAGATGGGGGAGAGTGGGAGAGATGGGAGGAGGGGGGAGATGAGAGTGGGAGAGATGGGTGAGTGGGAGAGATGGGAGAGTGGGAGAGATGGGAGATGAGAGGAGAGATGGGAGAGTGGGAGAGATGGGAGGAGGGGAGAGTGGGAGAGATGAGAGGAGGGGAGAGTGGGAGGAGGGGAGAGATGGGAGGAGGGGAGGGCGGGGGAGATGGGAAGGGAGAGTGGGAGTGGCGGGGAGGGAGTGAGGGGACTGGAGTTGAGATGGAGGGAAGTGCAGAAGTGGGAGAAGGGAGACTTTGGGGGGGGGGGGGAGAGCGAGGAGACGGGAGTAAGACGACTGACGCGAGAGAGAGAGAGCGAGAGAGTGAGCGAGAGGTGGGGGTTTACAAAAAGCAAAGTTATAAAAAAAAATACGAAATGATGAACGAAGCAAAGTGCCGACTACACCGAGCATCTTCTTGTTTCCACTGATCGTAAAAAAAGAGAGGGGTGGATACGAGAGGGAGATGGGGAGACGGAGGAGCGCTTAGGGGAGCGCTTAGGGGAGCGCTTAGGGGGGCGGGTGTGAAGAGTGGGAGACGGAGCTGGGGATGGAGGGAGAAGAGACTTGGGGGAGAAGGATGGGGGGGGGCGGGGGATTGGGGGGATTGGGGTTGGATGGGGGGGATTGGGGGGGGGGGAATTGGAGTGGGCGGGGGATTTTGTGGAGGGCTTGGGGGGGCGGGGCTGCCCCCACCTCCCGTCACTCAGGTCGCCAACAGCGGACGCAAAATCAAGAGAACTTTATTGATATTGACTTTTAAAAAACTTTACACGAGCACAGACGCCACGTGATGTGTGATGTGATGGCGATGTTGATCAAGTAATAAGCTGTGTAATGGGCCAGTCCTCATTTGCCGGTGTGACCCAGTGTGTTGTTGTGATGCTGGTGTGAGATGTGGTGTGATGTGAGATGTGGTGTGATCCTGTGTGATGTTGCGTGATGCTGCTGTGGTGCTGTGAGATGTGCTATGCTGCTGTAAGATGTTGCGTGATGCTGGTGTGATGTTGTGAGATGTGATGTGATGTTGTGAGATGTGGTGTGATGCTGTGAGATGTTGCGTGGTGCTGGCGTGAAGTGCCGGCGTCACGACTGCGCTTGCTGCCCCGCTCTCTTGCTGTTGCGAGCGATGCGGAGTTGCCCGGAGCCGGCGAGACGCACGGAGTAGAGGTCCGAGACGTAGGGCAACTCGCCCGGCACGCCGTGCTGGACGACGGGGACACGACGGAGACACGACGGAGACACGACAGAGGGAGACACAGCGGGGACACGACACAGGGACAAGTTTACCCACTGTTAATCACATGAACAGCTGTGACGTCGCGCGCGACACAGAGACGCAACAAACAGAAACGGCAGCCACAGCAGCAGCGACAGCAGCAGCCACAATGGCCCGAGTCACTCTTTTAATCTGTAATGAGGGCACGCATTCCTCAACAATCACATGCTCACCGCTCACACACACAAAGATCGCCCCGTGGAGCCTCAACAGAATCGTGCGGCGAGCAGGAACCTATGAGAGCCGTCAAACGGCACGCGTGGGGGGTGCGGCCAGCACCACGCCCGGCCGCCTTTGTCTCCCCAGCGGCGATGTTCACACTCCGCAGAAGTTATCCATTTAAGACCGAGTGAACCTAAGGGAGGCCTTCAGCACCGGTTCACACATTCGTCACCGCGCTTCCAAAACAGGGGCGGTGTGCGGTGGGGGCTCGGGTGATGGGGGGAGCTGGGTGAGGGGGAGGAGGGAGCTGAGGAGTGGGGGACCGTGCCCCCCCCCCCTCCCCCCCCCCTTGAGAGTTATTGTCTCGGCCGTTATCTTCACGAGCCAGCCACGTGTGGGGGGAGGGGATGCGGGTGTGCCCCCCCCACTCCTTTCCCCCTACGCACGGCATGGCCGCCCATGTTAACAACAACATCATTACCACTGCCTCCACCTTCATCCCCACCACACCACCATCAACAACAACCACCACAGTTGCCCACTGAGTGGCGGTGACATTACTATGGCACTTGTGCCAGGCTAGGTGCACTTCGCTCTCTACTGTGCCACATTTCTTAATTTTAGCCGCCCGGCGTTTCGCTAGTTGTTGTGAGCGTCGCTCCTCTACCCTCCACCCTTGTTGGAGGGCAACTGCATCCAAATTCCCAGTAGCATTCTTCGCGAGCCTCCTCCACATAGGCCAATATTGACACCGCTGGTACCAGTCATGGGTAAGTCCACTCAGCTGCACATCCTACTGTTCGGCTCCATCTCTTCTCTAACCCGTGCCGTGCCCGTTTAGCCCCCTCTATCCGGCCAAACAGAAGCTGCCTGGGCATGCGGTGGCTGGGCATGTGGTGGCTGGGCATGCGGTGGCTGGGCATGCGGTGGCTGGGCATGCGGTGGCTGGACATGCGGGCTACTCAGTCCACACAGCCTCACCTGCCAGAGCCAACTGATGACTGTGTCCAGATTTTTTAAGGATCTGTGAACTCCTCACACAATGCAGTCTAGTTAACCCAGGATGGATTGTAGGCAGGCCAGCCTGAATGTTTCTAACTGGTGGAGATGTTCCTTCAGGGGGGGGGGTCTACGTTTTCCTCGCGTAGAGAAGTTGAGGGCATAACTGTGGACATGAAGACCCGAAGCTTCATGTGGAGCGAAAGGCCACGTAGCTTCCAAAAAGCTGATGAAAATATAATCCGTTTAACAAGTAGGCTTTCGCGACCAATATCATCCATAATACAGGTTTTTTAGGGTTAGATTGCATAAATATATAAATGGGTCGTTAAACCTGCCACCACTCGACACGGCCAATTAGTGAGGGTTGTCACGTAAACAAAACGTGGCCAATTCGTCACTAGTACAGCACACCGATGTGTTGGAGAGTCAAGCCACAACATTTACAATCTGAGTACGACGTTTCGCCAGTAATTACAACCAGCTTCATCAGGCGACAGCCAGATTTGTGGATAAGTTTTGTTCCTTAATCACCATCAACACCACCACCACCACTATCCTCATGACCACAATCCCCAACAAGACCACCGCTATTCCCACAATCACCACCACCACCATTGCCAAATGTATCAGCACCATCACCACCACCAACATCACCATCACCAACATCACCATCACCACCACCACCACACACATCACCACTAGAACTACCCTCTAGACAACCATCACCGCAACCAACACAAGGCGTAGGGGCCCAGTGAGCCAACCCCGACCCCCGGATGACCCCCCGGATGACCCCCGGGGTCACCTGCTTCTTGAGGAGGAGCGGAGGGAGCGGCACGTTGCCGAGGACGAGGAGGTTGACGAGGCGGAGGCGCGCGGGGGCGAGCGGGGTGAGGACGAGCAGCGTGCCGCGGGGAGCGTCCACCCCGCGCACCACGCCTGGGAGCCACCGCCACCACCACATTGCACCGCGAGAACAATCACCAGAAGGCAACCACCACAGCAACTGCATTACGCTACAGCCACTACACCCAACCACGACAACCAAATTACATCCATCAACCCCTCCACACACTCTGGGGTCCCCCCGTGTCCCTCCCCGGATCCCCGTGTCCCTCCCCGTGTCCCTCCCTGGGTCCCCGTGTCCCTCCCCGTGTCCCTCCCCGTGTCCCTCCCTGGGTCCCCGTGTCCCTCCCCGTGTCCCTCCCCGTGTCCCTCCCTGGATCCCCGTGTCCTTCCCTGGGTCCCCGTGTCCATCCCCGTGTCCCTCCCTGTGTCCTCCGCGTCCATCCCCGGATCCCAGCGTCCCTCCCCAGGTCCCCCCCATCCCCCATCCCCCGCATCCCTCTCACCGAGGCCGTAGCAGCGGCAGGGGGGGAGGTCCCCGTGCACGATGAGGGGGGCGTTCGGGGGGACCGTGGGGGAGGGGCGCAGTGGGAGGCCCGGGGGGGCCCGGCAGAGTCCCACGACGCGGGCGTTGAGGGCGTAGAGGATGTGGGCGGGGGCCACGGCGCCCGGCGCGCAGTGCAGCGCCACGGCGGAGAGCGGCACCTGCGCGGAGGGGGCACGCGGAGAAGCGCACAGATAAAGGTCCCCCGTGCAGCCTTCGGCAAGACGTTGGGTAAAGTGCTGTTGACGAGCATCGAACCCTAACCCGCGACCACGCCCGACCGCCTCCGCCTCCCTTGGGGCGATGTTTAAACATCGCACCAGGTACTCTCATTTGAGTTGACCCAGGCGAAGCCCAGGACCAGGTAAGATAATCGTCACTGGTGTTTGTGGCGATGAGCGTCAATCGGAAAGCGGGCCGCCGTGTTCGTAGCGCAACGCACTAACCGCTGCACTAGACAAAGATCCCCCATATATTTGTACGCACAACAACAACAACAAGCGCCAATCGCCACTAAGTGGCGGTGACGTCACCACGACGCTTGTGCCAGGCCATGTGCACCTTGAGGCTACCACGTGAAGTGTCGAACGCCCGCTGGCAGGTCACGGGGCAGACCCAGGTGCCACGGGTCGACTGACCGAGATGACCGAGATGACTGGCTGATGCGCACACGCGTGTTTGTGTGTGCGGGCACCTCGTAGGGAGGCAGCCGGTGAAGGGGCCACAGGGCCCTGGCTCCGGGCGGCTGCAGCTGGCTCAGGTAGGCCAACAGGGACAGCTCCCGCAGCACATTGCTGGGCACCGGCCTGCACTCAACACACACACACGCACAGCTACAGACAAACATCCCCTGTGGAGCCCAATCGCAATGTCGGGGCAAGTGCTGTATAGAGAGCGCCTGTTAACGGCGGCACTGCGCACCTCGGAGAGTTGGTGGGGTGGCGAGCGCCGCACCCGGCCGCCGTGCCAGTTGCTGCTCATTTAAGGCCGAGTCGGCTTGGGGGAGGGAGCCCAGCACCGTTTCACTGATCACGCGGACCCACTGATGTTGGCCGTGCGGGCCTGTGCCGTACCCCCACCCCCCACCTCCCACCCCCCCTTCTCGCTTTGTGCACCTCGATAGGTTCAGAGTTGGCTACATAGGGTGCAAAAGAAGTCCAACAGACATACATAAAGGTCAAAGGGTCAGTGACTCACATGGCCCTGTATCCCTTGATGGAAGCAAAATTGTTGACGACTTCCAGCAGCTTGTGATCCCTCTCCTCCTCCTCATCCCCCTCCTCCTCCTCCTCCTCGTCCTCCTCGTCGTCGTCGTCGCGATCGTGGCTGTCCTCCTCGGGCGCCGTCTCCCAGCCGTGCAGGGCGCGCAGGGTGGCGGCCGTCAAGGGCTGGGCCTCCACACCTTTGGGGCTCATCTGCACCACGTGGCTTGGGCGCAGCATCCGGCACAGGTCCACGAGCAGTGCCAGCCCGTTACCTAGGAGACGGCGGGGTGGAGGGGGTTACCGTGTGGGGGTCGCGAGAGAGTTGGGAGAGACTTGTGAATGAGTGGGGCAGCAATAGTGTGCGAGTGTGTGAGAGTGATGGCGAGTGTGTGAGAGAGTGCAAATGAGTGTGTGGTGTGTAAGCTTCAGCAGTGGGAAGACAAAGGCGGCCGGGCGTGGTGCTGGCCACCCACCCCCACGTGCCCCACTCTGGCCTTAATAGGCGCTCGCTAACATCAATCTTGCTCCAACAGCCTGGTAAGGCTATAGGAGGGATCATTGTCTTTGTGTGTGTGTGTGGACATCCGTGTCCGGAGAAGAATCTGTGTGTTTATGCACCACCCCTCATCGCACACTCTCCATACCCACCTCATCCAATCCCCCCTTACCCCCACCCACCCAGCCCCCACCACCACCACCCCCCCACCCCCTCCCCCCGCACCTTGCACCCATCCCATGGTGTTGACGATGAGCGGCGCGAGGCGTCGGGTGCCGCTGGCGAGGACGACGCTCCGAACCGACGCGACGTAGCGGCTGGGGTCCCGCTCGGGGCTCACGTCGCCGTAGAACACGCAGCTCGCCGCCTCGCGGGGGTGCCCAAACGGGGGACCTTGGGGGGGGCACAAGCGGTTGGGGGGGGGGGGGGCACGATGAGGGGGGGATGGCCGCAGAAGTTGAGAAATTATTCCTGGAGTCTCAGTTCCTTGGCTTCACCATAGTGAGAGAAGTACAGCATGAGGGTGAGTGTGTGTGTTGTACACGTGTGTGTACATGTGTGTGTACACGTGTGTGTACACGTGTGTGCACGTGTGTGTACGTGTGTGTACACGTGTGTACACGTGTGTGTGCACGTGTGTGTACACGTGTGTGTGTACACGTGTGTGCGCGTGTGTTTGTGGGGAGCGGTAGTTTAGTGGTTAGCGCGCTGCGCTACGAAACCGGCAACCCGAGTTCGATTCCCGCTCACGGTTCAACACCACTGACGAATATCCGTACCGGTCCTTGGTCTCCCCTAGGTCAACTTAACCTCAAATGAGTCCTGGTGCGATGTGTAAACATTGCCACTGGGGAGACAAAGGCGGCCGGGCGTGGTGCTGGACACCCATTCCCTCGGGCGCCGTGTCAGCCTTCATAGGTGCTGCTCGCTAACAGCACTTTCCCCAGCAGTCTGTTAAGGCTACACGGAGCATCTTTAGTCTTTTTTTTTATGCGCGTGAAAGTGACATTTTGTGAGTGTGTATCAGCAGGTGAGCACCTCACCGGGTGAGGGAGACTCACCGAAGAGCGGCTGCGTGACGTCGTGGAGAGATATGCAGCCGGGCGGAGTGAACTCCGTCTGCCCCACGTCGCACTCCAGGTACTGTACTCGTGACATACTGTACGCACACAGAGACAAAGATCCCCCGTGTAGCCTTCTAACAGACTGTCGGGACCTGTGACAGCCAGCGCGGCACACCACTCCCGGCTGCCTTTGTCTCCCCGGTGATGAATGTTTTACACACCATGCCAATTACACATTTTTAAGGCCGAGTCGACCTACCGGGAGCCACTCGTTGGTCGTGAGCGGGATTCGAACTTTGTCAGCAGCAAAATCTGATAACCGCTGCGCCACCGCTCCCCCAAACAGACACACGTGTAAATATAAAGTTCTCCCATGTAGCCCACATAGGCTGATGGGCAAGTGCTGTCACATTGATTCCCCCTCCACTCCCCATTGATCCCCCCCACCCCCTTAATCCCCCCCCACTCTCTACCTTGATCGCCCCCTCCCCCCTGTACCCCCCCCACCCCCAACTCCCTCCCCGATCCCCCTTGATCCCCCGCCGTGGCTCTCACTGATTGAGGAGGGAGTTGAGGAGGAAGCGGTTGAACGTGGATTTCCCAGAGTTCCTCTTGCCGCACACGAGCACCACGGGGTAGTGCACCCCCTCTACTCACACACGTACACAAAGACAAAGAAACCCCGTACAGCCTTAACCGACTGTTGGGGCAAGCGCTGTTAGCGAGTCGCACCTATGAAGGCTGGCGGCACGGCACACAAGGGGGTAGGTGGCCAGCACCACGCCCGACCGCCTTTGTCTCCCTAATGGCGATGTTTACACACCGCACTAGGGACTCATTTGAGGCCGAGTCTACCTAGGGGAGGCCTAGGACCGGCTCAGAAAATCGTAACTAGCGTTGGCCGGGTTCGTGGTACACACACACACACGTTGTGATGGTGATGTTGTGATGGTGATGTGGTGATGGTAATGATATGGTGATGTACCCTCTCTGCGGCACGCAGTGACGATGGTGTCGATGGCGTGTCTGTAGCTCTCGGACACTGCGATCCCCTCCGTCTCCCCCACCTCCTCCACCCCAGCCGCGTGTAGCGGTCCCCGGCTCCTGTGGGGGTGCCCCTGTGCCCCACAAACAACCAGCACCGGCGTCATACAGGGGTGTGTACACGGCAAGTACACTGTACCGGACTTAATAGATGCTCGCTAACAGCACCGTGTATTAACTCCGCGTGATCCCATGCACGACCCCACGTGACCCTGTGTCTGACCCCAAGCATGACCTTGCATGACCCCATGTAACCCCACGTGGCCCCCTGTACAAACCCCGTGTAACAACGACGTGACCCCACGTATGTCCGCGTGTAACCCCGCGTGACCTCGTGCATGACCATGTGCGACCCCACGTGTGACCCCACGTGACCCCACCGAGCTGGGGGAGAGGAGGCGCGGGGTGGGAGAGAACTCGGAGAGGAAGCGGACGAGCGGCGAGTGTAGCCGGCGCAGGACCAGCACCGCTGACCCTGCGGTGACCCCACTACCACCGCCACCAGTGCCACCATCGCCACCGCGCCGCCACCGCAATATCCGCTCCACCGCGCCTGCATGGGTTCACGGAGCACAGATGGGGTTAAGAGAGACGCATGGGGTAGCCGAGGAGCTCGAGTCAGTGTTAGGGTGATGGGCTAATTTCAGCCAGGCCTCGGTGAGTGATCCGGAACAAGAGTGACACTCTGGTCAGGGATACACATGGCCTAGGGTGAGGGCTTGGGTGAGGGGCTACATGATGTTAGGGTAGAGAGAGGGTGAGGGTTACGGTGAGGGCTCGGGTGAGGGGCTACATCATGTTAGGGTAGAGAGAGGGTGAGGGACAGGGTGAGGGTTACGGTGAGGGCTCGGTTGAGGGGCTACATCATGTTAGGGTAGAGAGAGGGTGAGGGTTACGGTGAGGGCTCAGGTGAGGGGCTACATCATGTTAGGGTAGAGAGAGGGTGAGGGACAGGGTGAGGGTTACGGTGAGGGCTCGGGTGAGTGCTGCCCTGCTTTGAGAAATCAAGGCAAAAATGACCTAAGAGCGAGGGCACGGCATGAAGTGAGTGGAGGTGGCAGCAGGAAGTGACACGTTGTGGGAAACAGGGCAGAGGACCGAGGCCTGGGCCGCACCGGCACTGAAGGAGGCGGCGGTGAGCGACTGGCGCAGCCGAGACGTTCCATCCCCTTGCCCGTGGAGGTCCCCGTGGGGGTCCCCGTGGGGGTCCGGCAGGGCGCGCAGTGAGAGCGCGCGGTGCGTCCGCGGCGACAGGAGCTCCGTGGGCGCGTGGGATGGCGCCAGCTCGAATCCCAGCAGCTCCAGCCGGCCCCGCAGGCAGCGCAGCTCGCAGCAGCCATGCAACGTCAGGGTCTGCGGTGACGGGGGGAGGGGGGCAGAGGGGACTCCCCCGGGAACCCGAAGAGGGACACAGGAGGGGGGTTAGGGGGTGGGCGTGGAGCAAGAAGTTTGCGATGATCTTTTTGCGCGATTCTCCAACCCTCTCACCTGACCGGGGTCCATCACCACGGCAACGCGGTCTCCCTCTGCGAGGCGATACCCGCCGCTTTCCGGCTCCTCCTCCTTCACCTCGTCCACCTCGTCTTCCTCCTCTTCCACCTCTTCGTCATCCTCCTCCACGTCTTCAGTGTCCCCCACCTTGCCCAATTCTTCACGACCATCTGCCCTGTCCATCTCGTCATCCTCTTCCATTTCCTCCATCTCATCTACCTTTTCATGCCCCTCGTCCACCTCTTCATCTTCGCTGTCAATGCCGAATTTTTCGGCATCAGTCGATGTCCATTCCTCTGGCCCCGTTCCGGAGCCCGATTGCGGTTCCATCTCCTCTGCGGTGGGTCCCTCGCCTCCCGACTGTGGCTCCGAATTCACGGGGTCATCACAAACATCATCACCAACATCATCACCAACATCATCACCAACATCATCATCATCACTGCTGACCCTTCTCCTGACCCACGTGCCGACCCCACGCGTCACCAATCTTCGTCGCGCCAGGGTGACCCGGCGTCGGTGCCGGGGGTCCTCTCGCAGGAGTCCCAGGGGTCGCAGCAGGGGTCGCAGCAGGGGTCGCAGCAGGGGTCGCAGCAGGGGTCGCAGCAGGGGTCGCAGCAGGGGTCGCAGCAGGGGTCGCAGCAGGGGTCGCAGCAGGGGTCGTCGCAAGCGGAAGGACCCCGACACCGCAAGCAGGCGCGGAGGTCGTCGCTGACCTCCCTGCGCCATCGTGGCGATCGTGTCCAGGGGGTCACTCGGGGTCACGGGTGATGGACGGGGTCAGGGTGGTGATCCTTTCCTGTCATTACAAGGGTATGGCAAGGGGGTAGAGTTAGGATGAGGGCTAGGGGTTAGGACGAGAGTTAGGACGAGGGTTAGGGCTGGGGGTTATAGGGCTGGGGGTTAGGGCTGAGGGTTAGGGCTGGGGGTTATAGGGCTGGGGGTTAGGAAGAGGGTTAGGACGAGGGTAAGGGCTGGGGTTAGGATGAGGGTGTGGGCTGGGGCTTAGGGCTGGGGGTTAGGACGAGGGTTAGAGTCAAGGATAGTATGAGTTGAAGAGGTTAGGGTTCGTGTAAGCGCTAGTGTTGGGGCTCGTGCTGGTGATTGGGGTTGGCGATAGAGCTCGTGTCAGTGTTAGAGACAGCGGTTAGTACCAGGGCCAGTGTTAGCTGCAGTCGTGTTCGTGGTGGCGTTCATTCAACTCGTTCTCACCTCCGCTGCTGTTCCCGCGCCTGATATCGCCTCGCTCCTCCTGCCCTGTCCTGAGCCTTGCCCACCCCCCACCCCACACACTGCCCCGTGCCCCCCACACACTCAAAGCTGCCCCGTGCCCCCCACACACTCACAACTGCCCCGTAACCCAAATTCCGCGGTGCTGTGCAGATGCTGCCCCAAACACGTGTAGCCGTGGGGTCCCGCGTCCTCAGTCGCGGATTCGCGGTCTTTGATTCGCGCCTCCGGGACTCCGCGTCCGAGTTCGCGCTCCGCTGATTCGCGCGGCCGTGGCGATTCAATCGATTCGCTGCACCGATTAATCGCTTTTAAAAGAGCGCACGAAGAATAAATGGACGCAGATTTAATTCCGCTGTTACAATAATCGATTCGTGTTTCGCGACAGTCGAAACATTTAACAGAGAGACGCGGCCGTGTGACGAATCACGCGCGCGACACGCGATCCAGGGACCGCCGATTCGATTCGATCTCCAGAAGGGGCACGTGGAACGATGCGATTCTTAACTCCCCCCCCCCCCCGTTCACCTCGTCCATAAATGACGTCACGCGATTTTGGACGATTTTTGACCCCCCCCCTCGTCACACGGCGTCACAAAAAGTCAGACCCCCCCCCCTCAAATATGACGTCACAAAGCTCTGCTCCCCCCCCCCCCCCAAAAAAAATAAAGCATGCTTCAAATCTTCTTCTTGGTTCTTTCGGTAAAGTCACGTAGAATGGAAATAATATGTTTTATTTTTATTATTTTATTATTTCCATTCTACGTGGCTTTACCGAAAGAACCAAGAAGATGAATCCCTGCAGTCACGAAAGCTTTAAATCGAAATTTATGCTTCAAATCGCTTTAAACTATTGTCATTGTAGTGCAAGACAGATTCGTGAAGTCCACCTGTTTCGTTCCTTATATATATAACTTCTCCACAACTCTGGCTGTCGCCTGATGAAGCTAGTTGTAATTACTGGCGAAACGTCGTACTCAGATTGTAAATGTTGTGGCTTGGCTCTCCAACACACAACCGGTTCGTGCTATACTAGTATACTACACTATACAGTACACTACTATACACTACACTACTATACACTACACTACTATACACTACACTACTATACACTACACTACTATACACTACACTACTATACACTACACTACTATACACTACACTACTATACACTACACTACTATACACTACACTACTATACACTACACTACTATACACTACACTACTATACACTACACTACTATACACTACACTACTATACACTACACTACTATACACTACACTACTATACACTACACTACTATACACTACACTACTATACACTACACTACTATACACTACACTACTATACACTACACTACTATACACTACACTACTATACACTACACTACTATACACTACACTACTATACACTACAATACTATACACTACACTACTATACACTACACTACTATACACTACACTACTATACACTACACTACTATACACTACACTACTATACACTACACTACTATACACTACACTACTATACACTACACTACTATACACTACACTACTACACTACACTACTATACACTACACTACTATACACTACACTACTATACACTACACTACTATACACTACACTACTATACACTACACTACTATACACTACACTACTATACACTACACTACTATACACTACACTACTATACACTACACTACTATACACTACACTACTATACACTACACTACTATACACTACACTACTATACACTACACTACTATACACTACACTACTATACACTACACTACTATACACTACACTACTATACACCACTATACACTACACACCACTATACACTACACTACTATACACCACTATACACACTATACACTACTATACACTCCACTATATACTATACCATACACTATACACTACACTACTATACACTACACTACTATACACCACTATGCACTACACTAGTGCTGTACTCGTGACGAATTAGCCACGTTCTGTTTACGTGACAATCCTTACTAGTTGGCTGGGTTTTAACGACTCATTTATATATTTCCGCGATCTAACCCAAAAACCTCTATTATGGATGATATTGGTCGCGAAAGCCTGCTACGTGTTAAACTCCCTCGCCACAGCCGAACGCAGCGATTTGACGTTTCGCAGGAAACCGCGCCGGCCATCACAAGGACAGCATCAATTCGAGCTACAAAGCTGTCTCAACTCTGCAGGTGATCGAGAGAGCTTGCTCTGTTACGACCACTCAACACCGTAGCCATGGAGTCAACATTGGGGGGGGGGGGGCAAATCTTCCAGGGGATCTGAGGGTCCCCCCCCAGAAAAAATATAAAATTTTGAAAACTAATACGTAGCCAGCCGTGCTAATCGGAAGTGTGTGGGGAGGGGGACACAACAAATGAAACACAAAAAGGCGGTTCTAAAGAAGTGAATTTTAAACGTAGAGTTGTGAGTTGACAATCGCTCACCCACCCACCACCGCCAAGCGAAGCTCATTTATAATTATAATCCGCGCGCCGTTAAACGCTCACACGCCACGTGGCTATTTAATTCGCTTGGCTGTGCCTGGTGGTGGCGGGCTCGCTCGTGAGGACTGCTACGCCCCGAGGGGGGTGACTGGTAGCGAGCGGAGGGGTGCTCACGACAAATTAAAACATTTCAGATTGCGTCATCCTCAGCCAAGAAAAAATTAACCCGTAAAAACAAAGTTTTTCACTATAAATCCTTAATATGCGTGGCGGCTAGAGTCCTCTCGTCCTCTGGCTTGAGATGGCTGCCACCTTATGGGTCAGATGATTGCCTGCCACCATTAAGCAATTGGTAATTACATATAAAAAAATACCTAAAGTGTTATGGACATTTTTTTTCACGAAAATAAATTGTCACGCACGAGTCTGTGTGCAAAATGTCAGCTCGATTGGATCACGGGAAGTGGGTTAAAACACGACCGATAGATTTGCACGGTCGTAAGCGCGCAAGCAAGCAAGCAAGTGAACTTAATATAAAGGATTTTTTTTTAATGTATCACGAGTTGGCCCGTGGCCCCATCTCGGGCACAGCGCTACTGGGACTCTTAGCATGAATGACGCTATAAAAAAAACGTGTACGTATTATTGTGCTTTCATCTCATCTTACATAGACTATTGTCATGTCTTAACTCCCTGGCGTGGCTAATAAGGTGGTGATCAATTCGCCGCATGTTCAAAATGTGGCTGATAGAATGTTAGCCAGAACACCGCATATTAAACTAGTTTTGGCCTCCCTGCACTGGCTTCCAGTTTCACATACCAGTTTAAAATCCTATTAAGTTACAAAGCAGCGAACCATCTTGCCGCAGCCTACATCATTGACATGCTGCACCCATGTCCCCTCAAGGTCTCTAAGATGTGGGGATGCAGCTCTTCTCTGCATTCCCGGGTCGAGGTTTCGGTCTCTGGGTGACCGAGATTTTTCCCGTGGAGCTCCCAGGCTATGGAACGCTCTTCCACGAGATAGAGATTTTAAAAATGTGCCTTAAAACCAATTTATACGTTTCCGCTTATTACAATTTTAGTTAATTTCGTAAACTATTCTTGAAATGTAATTCTATTTTCATGCCGTGTCTGCTCCTGCTCTGTACAGTCCTTTGAGATCTTTGATGAAAAGCTCCTACAAAAATGTAATTATCACTAGTCACACGGCTAAGTCGATTACCCCTGTAAGACCCGCCCCTCTCCATGCCCCGCCCATTTACTCTCCCAAGCCCCGCCTGTTCAAGGCCCACCCCTGCGTTCAGACACGGGAGGGGTGCATGGCAGAGGTCGCAAACGGGTTTTGATTCCTTACCTGTACCCGGCCACACCAGGGTCGCAAACGGGTACCCGTACCAGTACCTGGCCAGGTACGGGTACCCGTTCCCTACCCGAAATGAGTGACAAACGGTTACTCACCAGTGACTCACGGCCTACCCGTACCTGGCCGCACCAGGGTCGCAAACGGCTACCCGTACCCGGCCGGGTAGCCAGGTATCGGGTAGGGTACGGGTATCGGGTACCCGGTTGCGACCTCTGCCCCTCACCCTCGTGCCTCTGGGAGCAGCTTGCAGCAAAAGTTGGAGGTGAACCTTGACATCTGCTGCACGTGCGGAGCCGACAAAATCCACTCTCAACTCGGCCATTGAGAAAACGCAGCTTTATCTCAACCTCGCGACGTCGACACACAACTCCAGCGCCGCAGCAGCAGCCGCCACACACAAATACACGCGTCCCGTGCCCTCTTAACCCCGTAGTAACACTGCGCCCATTCGCCAAGGGAGCGTTGATTGGAATTTCTCAAACTCTACTGTGCTGAGAATTTTCGCAAACGTAGTTTTCCAGAGGAGACTCTGGCTCCCGGACATGTATTTAACATCCACTTATGATTGTGCAGTTGTTCAATTTAAAATACGACAGCCACACAGCAAACACAGTGATCCCCGTGTCTGGCCCGTGTCCCTCGTCCGCAGGACACCATGGACCCCTCTGTTCCCCGTGTCCCCCCCCCCCACCCCCAGTGTCCCCTCCGTGTCCCCTCCGTGTCACTCAGAGTGGCTGGATGATGAGCTTGCGCCTCGGGTCAACAGAGAAGAGGTTGTTCTTGAAGACGTCGCTGTCATAGAACGCAGAGAGGCTGTGGATGCTGATTTGCCTCGCCTGTGGGGGGGGGACAGAAAGGGGGAGGGGGCGGAAAGGGGGGGCTCACAGGTTAGGTACTGCCACTTGGTAACCACGGTGACGCCGCTCATCCTCGCCACGGTAACATCGACATTGTTACACAGCTCATATAATGTTACCCACATTGTAGTGGCATCATCATAGTCGGTACTCCGAAATAGCCCTGCTGAGCATTACCAATGCGGAAATCATTCCCAACCTAAGCTGACGTTTCTGTCACCTGAACTTTACGATCAATGGATTTTGAAAGCAATTCGTCCGAGCTGACCTCCTTTACAGTAAAAGCACTTAAATAAATGTTGATCAGGCCTGTTGCTTTCAGGCTGTCTCTGATTTGTATTCCATTTAATTTTGGCTCAGAATATTTTTTTCTTTCTCCCATTAACAATCTGCAATGTCTGACCCCGTGAACCCCATTAACTGGTGACCCGATGACCTCGCGAGCTCACCCGGTCGGCGAGGTCCTTCTCGGGCACCTCGACGCGCTCGTGCCGGACCCCGGCGACCCCGGTGGCGCCGTAGCGGCTGCGCTGGTAGCTCAGCTGCTCGGACACGAGCTGCTTCAGGATGAAGAGCAGCAGCTCATTGTTGTCCCGACGGAACGACAGGTACCGTGAGAATGTCTGTGACGGACGCGCGAGGGACACACGCACGGGATACATGAAAAGCATGTAAACACACATGGGCACAGGTGAAGACAAGGGGAACATGCAGGGGGACATGGGAGGGGATACACAGGAACACGCGGGGGACACATACGCGGAGACACACGGCGGTTACAACAGGTGGACAACACAAGGAGAGGTGGACAGAGACAGGCGACCGGTCACAGCACTGCTCCCATTCATCCCACCCGGACCCTGCCCCTACCTGGACACTGCCCCTACCTGGACACTGCCCCTACCTGGACTCTGCTCCCACCCTTACCCTGTTCCCACCGGACCCTACTCCCATGCGGTGGCCCCTGCTCCCACCTTGCGCATGCTGCGCATGACGCTGAACTTCTGCGTGTCGATGAAGCTGTCGAGCACGACGCGGATCGCCATGTTCACGTCCTCCTCCAGCACAAAGTCGCGCAGGTGCAGGCGCGCATGCGCCTCTGCCAGCCGGATCATCGACTCGATGTGCCGCACCGTGATGGGAATGCTACCCGTCGCCTGTAGACAGGGTGGGGAAGGGGGTTCGAGGGGGCAGGGGGTTGTTTATTGGTGAATGGTGGAGTGTCGGGTGCAGAAGCAGTTGAACAAATCAACGCGTGGGTCGCTCCCCCCCCCCCCCCCCCACCAGTCTCACCATGGACTCCTTGCGCAGTTCGCTGTACATGCGCGCCACCTTGTCCTGGTCCATCTGGTTGAGCTTGGGGCGCACCTTCTCCTTGCTGTAGGTCACGTACTTGCGCAGCAGCTCCTGCGGGATGGGCTCCACACCGTACGAGTTGGGCATCGGCGCCGGCCCGGCACCGGTGGCCTCCTCGCCGCGGCGCTCGGGTCCGCCGGGGTGGTGCCGCACGTGGCTGGAAACCACGAAGCGCGCCAGCATCTCGTCCTGCATCCCCGCACACACGCGCGTGCGGACTCCGCTGTGAGTCAGGAGGTCAACGTGGCGCACGACGGGCAGTGGTGTGGCGAGCGCCACGGGCGGCCACATTCGTCGCCCCGGTGCCGAGCTTTCAAAGCCGCACTCACCTAAAGGCCGAGTCGACCTAGAGGCGGCCCAGGATCGGGTGCAGATATTCGCGATCACCGATGTCGGTGGCCGTGAGTGGGAATCGAACTTGGGTGACCGACTTCGTAGTGCCACCCCCCACCCCACCACTCACCTGCACGGGGTCAACGGTGTCGCGCACCACACACAGGATGTCGAAGCGAGACAGGATGGGCTCCGTGAGGTCAACGTTCTCCGAAAAGGTCAGCGAGGGGTCGTAGCGCCCTCCTGCACTCGCACCGCACACATACGGAGGGGGACAGCGTGACACGGGTGACGCGGGTGTCATGCGACCCTAAAAGTCATAGGATGACAGTTGACGAGGACGGGGTGAGGAGGTGGAGAAGGAAAGAAAGAGGGGAGGGCAGGCGCTGTACCGATGGGGTTGGCAGCGGCGATGATGGTGCAGCGCGCCTGCAGCGAGGTGACGATGCCGGCCTTGCTGATTGAGATGCTCTGCTGCTCCATGGCCTCGTGGATGCTCGTGCGGTCCTGATCTGTCATCTGCAAAGACCAAGATCACCCGCGTAGCCTTTAACAGACCGTTACATTCACTGTGATTGAAACAGACGGCACCACCACTGGAGTATTAACCAGGGCACCCTGCTGGATTCAAACCGCTAAGCGACAAGCGGTTAGGCATGCCACTGCCGGATCGCATCAACCTCCCGTGCTTGTCACTGCCCTACTCTCCTCTCTCCCTCTTAACCTCCACCTCTCCCTCCCCCTCCGACGTCACTCACCTTATCGAACTCGTCAATGAGACACACTCCCCGGTCAGCCAGCACAAGGGCGCCGGCCTCCAGCGTCCACTCGCGGCTCACGGGGTTGCGCTGCACGTAGGCCGTGAGGCCCACGGCGGAGGCACCCTGGCCCGTGGTGAACACCACGCGGCTCGCGGCCTTCTCCACGAACTTGAGGAACTGGGACTTGGCGGTGCCTGGGTCCCCGCACAGCAGCACGTTGATGTCCCCGCGCACCTTGTGCTTGCCGCCTGTCGGTAAGGGGTGGGGGGGCGGTAGTCCGTGTTTTTGCGCCGATTTCTATTTGCCGCCTCGTCACTGTAACGTTGTTTTACGTTGATCGTTTCAGTGACGCGAAGCTCACTCGCTCGTGCAAATAAGACTCCTCCATCCTGGTCTCTGGAATTCTCACCTGGTTACACAATTGCACTTGACTTCTCTATCTGCTACTTCCCTTGCGCTGCTCTGCTTTGTAATTCCATTAATCATGGTCTCTTTCCCCAGGCTCTTATGAGAATAATGATGTTGATCTAGCTCAATTCAAGAGACGTGTTTACGCTCAAGTCGAACTTTGACGGTGCCAACCATGATTTTAGAGGTCGGCGAGAAGGGGCTATGACGGGGGGGGCGGGGGTCATGGGGGAGGGGTCACCTGGGTTCTTGGGTACGCCCCCGAACATGGCGAGGGCGATGGCGCGCTTGATGTCCTCATGCCCATAGATGGACGGCCCCACGCTGGCAAATACCTGCGTCGTGCACACACACACTCGATGCCTTACACGCTTGTCCGCGTGTACATCTCATGTCTGTCCAACCCCCCCCTGCTGCCTGCACCTGCACGTCTCCCCGTGTCCACTTACTTACATCCACTCACAGTGGTCACGTGTCCTCAATTATCCCTGTGTTTCTATGCAACTCCCCCCATGTCTCTTCCCCCGTGTCTCCCCCACGACCCCCCCCCGTGTCTCTCCCCGCCGCGCGGCTCACCCTCTCCGCGATCCTCTCGTCGCGGCTCAGCGCAACGATGGCCCGCACGTCCTCGTCCGTGAGCATCTCGGTGGCCACCTTGTCGTCGCGGCACGTGATGTGATTGGCGAGGATGACGGTGGCGAACACGGGGAAGCCATTTGACATGTTGAGCGCGCCGTCGTAGTTGTTGTGGTAGATTCCCGTCAGCTCCTGCGGTCGTGGCGACACAGGGTGAGGGGGGGGGGTCACCATCACCGACCAC